TCTTCAAGCGTCGGTTCTATTTATTTGCTTTACATTTTACTACCTGAATCTTCCAGTTTGTTCGAAAGGTTGTCTTCCTGGAGGAGCCTACAGAATGCTAATGTGCCAGCAACGCCATTTTCGACGAAATTTTCATAATAATGTTTTGAAAGCATTCAGTCTAAAACATAAAATCTTTTCTAAAACGTGCAAGTGTGGCTACCTGATTTTTCATTAGAAAATATATTATTCACTGCTTCATTCACATATGTTCATGTAATTTGTTACATTTTTTTTTTAAATAGTGGTTGGTGGTATATAGTGGTTAGTGTAGTACCTGGTGTTATTACTATGGTGAAAGGCATTGTGTCATGTATGAAAAGAAATCTGTCATGCAATATCTTTATTTTATTTTAAACCCTTTCATTCTTAACTTGTAATCATGTGAAAATGCCGTGGCAAGTCAATAAATTAACCATTAGCTCTAAATAGTTTTTTAAAAGATTTGTCTGCTCTGTTGTAATCATACATTATTTTATGATGTAGCACTGAATCTATTTTCAGTGGATCGATAATTATGTTAAAATCTTGGAGTACATATGTTTGTGTACAAATATTATATCATACATTATCATACATGATATGCGCAAGGCAAGTTAATTGAGGTTATCTTTAGTCACGTTTTAGTTAGTATTGTGACGTTAACTAAACAATGAAATGGTTGCTTTATGTGCATGTAATTATTTATCATAACAGTTCGGTTTCGCATTGTGGTTTTACTATTGTGGTCAGTTTCGAATTATTTTTGCTTAGTAACGTGACTGTGAACTAAAAACTAGAGTTTTCATCCAATATCGAAAATGTGATTGTTAAATGAAATCGATTTAGCTTGATGTTTTGCCAATAAGTTTGAAGAATTCTCCATGCAAACAATCGAGGTTCAAAACATTTTACTTAAATCTTTAACTAGCTTTGGAGTAATTCCTCAGTCAATGATACCTAAAACTAAATTAATTTTTAATGGAAATGTATGGGGGTAATGTGACGGAGGCGGATTTAGGGTGATGGGCGAAGCGGCGGCGCCCCCCCTCCTTTGCTGGAAAAGTACCCAAGTTGAATAATATAATAAAACTGACAGGCCAGTTAATTTTCAAACTAATTCAAAGTGTTCGCCCCTTTTCATAATCTCTTGGAATTCAAAACATTTTATATGGTTGATTCAAATTACGGATTTAACCTTTGCGTTATTTGCATATATTCATATTTTGCCCTAAAATCATTACGGGTTTTTCATCTGTGATTATTTCAAAATAATCGGACAAAAGCTTTAATTTCTCTATCCTTAAGCCAATACTTGTATCCACAGCATCTTCACGATGGAAAATGTGCGAGAATGCAGAAGTTCCCATTTACCAAAAATATGTACTCAACATTTACTCAACATTAAGACTCCAGGCATTAGTCTCCATGAAAGGTGTTTAGTTTATTTTCTTTCAAAGCCCGTTCATCCAGGTGTACACAAGCTATATTGCTCTGAATCTTCCTATTTATAATTTGTGTTTTATATCACTGTAACAGAAATTTAAAGTACACTCATTCGATAAATATCTTCATTAACAAGATATTCGTGCGAACGTAGCATAAATTCTAAAAGTTTTTTTCTTTAGAAAAGTTTTCTAATAAGTAATTTCATTGTGCTTCATTTCTTCCTGTCTTGTTCCAAGCAGAAATGTGAAGGAAAAACTACTGATACTTAAACCATTTCTATCATAGCTTGCTATCTTCTTACGCAGTCTTCACACTCTTCATTCTTTCCACAACTTTTTATAGAATACATTATTCCTTTCTTACGATGACACAGATTACAGTCCAGAATGAGTATTGAGATAAGGACAGTCGAGAGAATGAAAGCAACTAACATCATTCTGGGTGATGTGATGTAGACAAATAATCCTTTATTTAGCACGAGGGGTCGACTTTCTGTAAAGAAATTTTATGAAAATAAGACATGAAGCAAATCGTAAAACATGATTATTTTGCAATTTTTCTCAAATGTTGTGGACATCTAATTACACACAGTACGCTTTTTGGTTAATTCTTTCAATCATAATTGAAAATTTTTTACCTGGATCACTGCGTCTGCTACGATAAGGTAGACTTTTATGGACTTTTTTGTTCCAGAGATTGCAAGATGAGTGTTCCCTGACAACTTCATATACGGTTGAACCATCTAGGGTTTGTGTTGGGATTTTTTCTGTTTTTTTTGTGTTTTTTGTTGCTTTGCAACCAGGCAAGCATTGAGTGAATTGGATAAAGAGATAATATAAAACAACCTTTGTATATTCACTGTGTAGATGAAAACGAGGTTGAGGATGCTTGCAATAGTCATTACATGTTCTCACGTTTGGTGGATTGTATTTTACTTTTGTTGTAAATTCTGTTTCGTTAACTGTAAACACAAAAGGAAAAGCGTTTCAAATTTAGATCTCAGTTTAACTTTTAATTAAATACAAAAGTCCTTACTTTCGTTTGAAGATAGATTCTTGTGTTGATCGAAGTTCAAGGCTGTTAAGTTTGTACTCATGTAACAAGAAGTGTGATTATATACAATATATTTGTAAAATTTTTTGTCGTTTTTTAAATCAGGAACGACAATCTCGACTTCTGTCAATGTCATAGGTTGGGGCCAACATAATGAACATATAGGAAATTTATCTTTTTCGATGACACATCGTTGAACTTTAACATAATAGGGCTCTCTGTCCTTGGGAATGTCAGTGAAGTTTTCATTATAAATTGAGACAACTTCTTGCTTGAGGACTGAAACTATAGAAAATGAATATTAACGTTAACTTTTTTTCATCGTGATTCAAATCATTACTTGTTTTTGTACCTGGTTTATCGATAGTAGCCTTGTTCTCTGTTTTACTATGCACATTCTTGCTCATGAACACCACACATATTATGCATGTATATTTGAAATTGTTAAAGATACCTAAAAAAGACAAAGATTGTTTTTCAGAAAATTCATCGTTTAATGCTCATTACTGCACACGCGAGCTGCTCATTTTATAAAGCATTTATTTTATCGTGAAAAAGTACAAGGGATGTTGGGTTATTGTGTGTTGTTAAAGTAAATCACTCAATTATATTATTAACAAATTAAATTCATCAATCGTAGATTTATGTCAACAAACAAATTTGTCAACACAAATGAAAGTATCTTTAACTGTCATATTTATAAGAAATTGATGAAATAAGTTTTTTGAAGACTAAATTGATGCATTTTCTCCATCATTAATAAACATGCGTTGCTCACCCATTTGTTCTCTTTTTTGCAAGCTGATTTCTCAAAGATATCTTGTACAATGTCAGGTGTATTGTCTTTCTTATAATTCACAACTTAGCTTCACTTTTATAAATAATGAGTTCTGGAAAGACTTTTATACTCTCTAATTTCAATAGCATGGTTTTATAAACCTCAAAAATTTAAGATTTTAATCACAATTAAGATGGAAAATAGTCTTCAAAGACATTCTATATTTTGATAAGTACTTTGAATATATTTGAACGGAATGTCTTTCATATGTAATCATTATGTAGGTACTCTCATTTAATTGTTTATTTACTATACAATTAATGGTTATTCATCCCGGAACCATTGAAGATGGTATTTAAAGTATTTTATGTCGCTATGATTTATAAACTGGCACTTAAAATGTTAAGATTTCTTATTCTTTAAACATTTTTTGCTTCACTTAATTAAGTTATTATAAAATTCAAATCATAAAGAAGAATCTGAAAGCGAGGGCCCATAGCATAATTATTCTCTTATTATTCTCTCATATCCTGCACTATGGTCAGGCTGGCCTATCCTCTCAACTTGCTTAAAAAGTAAATATTTACATTGTTAATAATATCTCTCAATTAAACGATCCTACGTCGGCACATTATATTTTGACGTAGACATTACTGAATTATCAATTTATCATGTTTTGTGAGTAATATGAAATGGGAAGAATTTACAGGTAGAATGAATTGTCGAAATGCCAAGTTACATAGCTATTTAATTGAGATGTAATTGTTGATTTGCTTCTGGCAAATTTCGCGGTAAATTTTTCTTTTTGATTGTTTTTATATAGCTGGGCAACAAAGATGTGTCAAATTCTTTACGTGGCTATATTTTTAAAATAGGAAGAGCAAACACGCATTGTAGCGCTTGTTGTAGATTTTGATAATTTTTGTTTGTCATGGGTTATGGTGTGCTACGGTGGCTATATATCCATTTAACTATTTGCGTGTTACAAAATTTTAAAGGTACATTTATATCATTGTTGTCATTACTACAGCTAAAAACAATTGGATATGTATTATTTTTTTGACAATATTGCATTCTTTATTCAAAAAATGAACTCCATGACTTGTTCGAGAACATAAAATTATTTGATAGCTATATAGAATTGCAAATTAGTTAGTTACTATAAGAAAAAACAACTCGTCTGTTTTTGGAAATAAGTAATAAGTAATTCAAGCAGCTCATTGCTCTCAAAATATTGCAAAGTCAGCTTTGATCATTTCTTTTGCTCTTAATATTCTGGTTTACGAGGAAAAAAGGCTTTTAAAAACCTTCTTCAGTGGATGCCCACAAGATGAGCAAAAAGTTGCTAAAATATGCAACAACAAAACTTGCCCATTTACTGCTCTCAAAACACGTCAACTTTCATCACATTCACTATAAACATGAATTCCAGTTTAATATCACTAAAAGAAAATTTAATTTAATTAAAAATATCTAGTATAATGTTGACTTGGCAGAAATTAGTGCAAATGTTATACAGCTTTTAGAATATTATCCAATTATTAGAATATTACGATCACAGTTTCTGCTGAAAACAATTCATACACTTTAATAGCGTTGCGTGGAGTGTCATGATTTGTTCGTCATTCATCTTGTCGCACAACACAATGTTCAGTCATTTCTTGTTTTCACCGCCGTCGGAAGCTCTAACTAAGAATGGGGGTCTGAAAATTCAAATATCTTAGAGTCTCGAAATATCCTTCCACTGAAAGTAACCGCATCATTAAATTAGCCACCTTTTTAAAATTAAAATAGCCCGGGCAGCTTATTATTTCGAGACTCTACGGTATGTGACTTTCTCCTAGAAGATTCGGGGAAAAGCTGGGCTTGTTAAATTTTCACAACAATTTTGGAAATTACTGAAAGGGGGTTGCAGCCTGCCCAATCCCCACAGCTTCCGATGGGCCTGGTTTCAGATGCTTTATTCATTCATGTCTTCCTTTTTAGCAGAAATGTGACACAAAAACTACTGATACTTAAACCATTTCTATCATAGTCTGCTGTCTTCTTACGCAGTCTTCACACTCTTCATTCTTTCCACAACTTTTTATAGAATACATTATTCCTTTCTTACGATGCCACAAAATACAGTCCAGAATGAGTATTGAGATGAGGACAGCCAAAAGAATGAAGATAACTCGCATCATTTTAGGTGATTTCATGTAAACAAATGATCCTTTATTTAACACGAGGGATCGACTTTCTGTAGAGAAATTTTATGGAAATAAGATCATGAAACAAATCGTAAAACATGATTATTTTGCAATTTTTCTCAAAAGTTGTGCACATCTATATACACACACATAACGCTTTTTGGTTAAATTTTTCAATCATAATTGAAAATTTTTTACCTGTATTACTGCGTCTGCTACGATAAGGTGTACTCTCCTGGACTTTTTTGCTCCAGAGATTGCAAGATTTATGTTCTTTAATAACTTTCAACGGGGTTGAACCATCTAGGATTTCTGTTCTGACAATTTTCATTTTCTCTGTTGCTTTGCAACCAGGCAAGCATTGAGTGAATGGGATAAAGAGATAATTTAAAAGAACCTTTGTATATTTACTGTGCAGATGAAAACGAGGTTGTGGATGCTTGCAAAAGTCATTACATGTTCTCACGTTTGGTGGATTGTATTTTACTTTTGTTGTAAATTCTGTGTCGTAAACTGTAAACACGAAAGGAAAAGCGTTTCAAATTTAGATCTCAGTTTAAATTTGAATTAAATACAGAAGTCCTTACTTTCGTTTGAAGATAGATTCTTGTGTATATTAAACTTCAGGGCTATTAAGTTCTTTTCCAGGTAACAAGAAGTGTGATCATATACAACATATTTGTAAAATTTTGTGTAGATTTTTAAATCAGGAACGACAATCTCGACTTCTGTCAATGTCATAGGTTGGGGCCAACAATATGAACATATAGGAATTTTATCTTTTTCGATGATACATCGTTGATTTTTAACATAATATGGCTCCCTGTCCTTGGGAATGTCAGCGAAGTTTTCATTATAAATTGAGACAACTTCTTCCTTGAGGACTGAAGATGAATATTAAAAAATGAACTATAGAAAATGAATATTAACGTTAACTTTTTTTCATCATGATTCAAATCATTATTTGTTTTTGTACCTGGTTTATTGTTAGCAGTCTCGTTCTCTGTTTTACTATGCACATTCTTGCTCATGAACACCACACATATTATACATGTATATTTGAATCTGATAAAGATACCTAAAGAAGACAAAGATTGTTTTTCAGAAAATTCATCGTTTAATGCTTATTATTGCACACGCTAACTGCTCATTTTATGAAGCATTTATTTTATCGTGAAAAAATACAAGGGATATTGGGTTATGGTGTATTGTGTTTCAGTAAATCACTCAATTATATTATTAACAAAATAAATTCATTAATCGTAGAATTATGTCATCAAACAAATTTGTCATCACAAATGAAAGTATCTTTAACTTTCTTATAAGATAATGATTAAGTAAGTTTTTGAAGACTAAATTGATGCATTTTCTCCATCATTAATAAACATGCATTGCTCACCCATTTCTTCTCTTTTTACAAGCTGATTTCTCAAAGATATCTTGTACAATGTCTCTCTTATAATTCACAACTTAGCTTCTTTTTTATAAATAATGAGTTCTGAAAAGACTTTTATACTCTCTAATTTCAATAGCATGGTTTTATAAACCTCAAAAATTTAAGATTTTAACCACAATTGAGATGGAAAATAGTCTTCAAAGACATCCTATATTTTGATAAGTACTATGAATATATTTGAACGGAATGTCATTCATATGTAATCATTATGTAGGTACTCTCATTTAATTGTTTATTTACTATACAATCAATGGTTATTCATCCCTGAACCATTGAAGATGCCTCATCAAAACTTTGTAATCAACCAGTTTTAAATTGAAGTATTTTATGTCGGTATTAAATTATAAACTGGCACTTAAAATGTTAAGATTTCTTACTCTTTAACCATTTTTTCCTTCACTTAATTAAGTTATTGTAAAATTCAAATCATAAAGAATAATCGAAAGCGTGGGCCCATAGCATAATTATTATCTTATTATTCTTTCATATCCTGCACTATGGTCAGGCTGGCCTATCCTTCACTCAACTTGCTTAAAAAGTGTTAAGATATGCTCTCATATTCCTCCCGTGATTAATTCAAGTGTAAGTAATTAGATGACGAATGTTAAGAGATACTTATAATGTTATCAAGACAATATTTTTTATAGTTCCTAGTAGTTTTCTGTTGACGTCAATAAACCATATTTGTTACAAGAACCCAAAATAATCTTACGTAAATTTTGTATAAATAGAAGTAGTTAAATCATTGTAAAATAGAAGACGTTGAACATTAGATGTGATCGTATAGTTATCTGTAACATTTGTTGGTGTAAGTCAAATTATATTAAAGAAGATAATGGCTACATCACAAAACCTAACAAAAAGTAAATATTTACATTGTTAATAATATCACTCAATTAAACGATCCTACGTCGGCACATTATATTTTGACGTAAACATTGCTGAATTATCAATTTATCATGTTTTGTGAGTAATATGAAATGGGAAGAATTTACAGGTAGAATGAATTGTCGAAATGCCAAGTTACATAGCTATTTGATTGAGATGTAATTGTTGATTTGCTTCTGGCAAATTTCGCGGTAAATTTTTCTTTTTGATTGTTTTTATATAGCTGGGCAACAAAGATGTGTCTAATTCTTTACGTGGCTATATTTTTAAAATAGGAAGAGCAAACACGCATTGTAGCGCTTGTTGTAGATTTTGATAATTTTTGTTTGTCATGGGTTATGGTGTGCTACGGTGGCTATATATCCATTTAACTATTTGCGTGTTACAAAATTTTAAAGGTACATTTATATCATTGTCGTCATTTTTACAGCTAAAAACGATTGGGTATGTATTATTTTTTTGACAATTTTGCATTCTTTATTCAAAAAATGAACTCCATGACTTGTTCGAGAACATAAAATTATTTGATAGCTATATAGAATTGCAAATTAGTTAGTTACTATAAGAAAAAATAACTCGTCTGTTTTTGGAAATAAGTAATAAGTAATTCAGGCAGCACATTGCTCTCAAAATATTGCAAAGTCAGCTTTGAACGCAATTCAATTCCAATGATGTTGTAGGGAAATCACATTTCAGAAATCTATTACTGTCTATATAGCCTGTATGGAAAGAGTTTAAAGTGACTGCACAATATTGCAAAGTCAGATTTGAATTGAGGCAATTGCATGAGTTCCAATGACGTTTTAGGAAATTACATTTTTTATAAAACAAAGACTTTATTGTGGTCACGAACTTTAATATTGCTCTTATTAACGTATTTGTCTTGGTGAACGACAATTTGTGCATACGGCCTGGTTTTCATGTCTGTTCATAAGCATTTGATATTCATTTTGTCGTTTGCCGAATAATAGACGGAGTAGTCTCCTTTTGACCGCTTGCTGTCAGAAGAAGTTTTGTATTTTACTAAAGTAAAGTTTTCCATGTAACTAATCAGATCTACACAGAAATACTCGATGGGTTTTCCCTTTTTAATGTTTCGATATCATTGCTTATTTTAGTTATTTATTGCAGTATGTCTTTGATATGCATTGACCTGTACATTACAGACAATGAAAATAATATATTCGCCCACGACTGCTGTCATGCTGGGTTATTATAAGGACACATACGAGCAAATATTTTTTGCTTTGTGTTTCGTGAGCGTCTATGGTATTCTCGTTCAGTAATTCAAACCATATTAGAAGATAAATTTGTCTCTGGCATTATAGAAATGCTTTGAAAAGATAGTTTAGCTTTACTCGTAAAATATTTTAAATTTTGAATATTTTCGTCCAAGATTTCGTGTGAACGATCGGAATGCTACTGTAACAGTCTCAGACATTCCACACTGCATTCGATACATAAGAACTTGAAAATAGAAATCTAGTTATGTTATCGTAGATATTAATTCAAGCTTGACTTATACAAAGATACTCTTAACACATGTATAGAATTAAACAATTATCTCTTGAGCTGCTAAAAGAATAAAAATTTGTGAACTTTCTTAATAGATAGTGTGATAAAGAGTGCATGATGTAAAAGAAGCAGGAAAACGTTTTTCGTCTGTCAGCACCAACTTTACCATAAAGCCTAGTTCATATATAGTTGTAATTATTGTAATTCGATCGGTGATGAACGTTTGCAGCAATTACAACTATAAGTAAACGCGCGTTGTAATTGTTGTAATTTAATCGCAGAAAAATCGGCAGCTGTTGTAAAAGTTGAACTTGTCTAACTTTTACAACATTTACAACATAAGAAATTTACACGTGAACGATTATCGGTGATGGCAATTCATCTTTACTTTCGAATTCTTGTACGATAAATGATCAAATTTGATACTAGTTAGTATCACCTGAATTACAACAACTACAACTATATATGAATAGGTAGTGTTGTAAATCATTTGTAATGTATAAAATCAGTTGGAATCCGAATGTATGAAATCAGTTGTAATGTATAAAATCAGTTGGAATCCGAATGTATGAAATCAGTTGTAATGTATAAAATCAGTTGGAATGAATGTATGAAATCAGTTGTAATGTATAAAATCAGTTGGAACTGAATGTATGAAATCAGTTGTAATGTATAAAATCAGTTGGAATCGAATGTATGAAATCAGTTGTAATGTATAAAATCAGTTGGAATCCGATTGTATGAAATCAGTTGTAATGTATGAAATCAGTTGTAATGTATGAAATCAGTTGAAATCCGAATGTATGTAATCAGTTGAAATGTATGAAATCAGTTGAAATGAATGTATGAAATCAGTTGAAATGTGTCAAATCAGTTGGAATGTATCGCTGATGAAATTACAGCAATTACAATTGTATGCGTAGTACGCTTAAACAGGCGATGACGAAATTGTCTGTACTGACTCATGCTCTAACTACACCTATGCGCGTTAAATGTCATATGCTATATCTTGCCAAACGTTTTTTGCTCGACTTTGTACTCACAAAGGCAAGCGAGCTAAACAGACAAATATTTTAGTAGAGTCGTCAAATTTTACTCTAAACCAAGATGAATTTGTCGTTATATCTTCCCGAGATAATCTTTTGCTGTAGATGCAAATTTTGTATAGTTATGTGTATGTATACTTTCGTATTTACTTATCTGATGACATAATGTGTAAATGTATACGTAATATTAATAATTGAAAATGAAGAAGACTATTTATCCATCCCCTATTAGTCTGATGATGTCTTTGGAATAAAGACAAAATATTACACAATCTGTTGTCTAAAACTCTTGTATCATCTTGAATATCAAGAAAACGAGATGTCTGTTTTCAGAATTCGTTTGATTTTGTTTTACTTTAAAATGTCTGCTTGTCCTGGTTATTAATCCCTTATTTATTTTACCAAAACATTGATTAAACAAAAAGAAACCGTTGACTAACATAGGTGGGGATTCCTTTTGAAATACACACAAATCACTACAACATCACAGAAACGAACTGTTGAAATTCTTAACATATTAATGTTCAATAAAATACTTTATTATAGACAACCCTATTAAAGTCAGCCACCGAAAACTTTATACTTATTAAAAGATATGTTATTAAATCTTACAATGCTTTCCTTATGGTGTGTAGAGTTATGGTTATTTGTAGACTTCTAATTAACCACGAGAGAACTAGACGAAATATTTTAAGATTATATAATGACTAACTTTTGTTTTTTTCTTCAGTCCGTTCACTTTACACTCATAAGCAAATTTAACTATAGACACTTTGTAAAATAGGTACTTTTATACAGTACGTACATTGTCAGTCACGCACGTCTTGCTGCAAATGACTTTTTTTTGCGTCATTGTTTTCAATATCTCTTTGTATATAGAGTTTTCGTAATAAGGTCATCCTTGTCTGCACGGCGGACAACGTATATGTATGTTGAATTCCCAAATATTTTGCCGACAAAATTTGTTTTTTAATCATTAGCGGATTCAGCGTTCGGCAAAATAAAGTTATATAGCTCGATTCAATTTTATATTCGAAAAATACCTTCAAAAGCACTATTGGTTTGGAATTTCTAATGAATATAATTTTACCAATGCACTTGCATCTAATATGTTTGGAAACTTGTAAATATATAGTAAAAGGACAAAAAAGCTCTAATTTCTCTATCCTTAAGCTAATACTTGTATCCACAGCATCTTCGTGTCACGATGGAAAATGTGCGAGAATGCAGAAGTTTCCATTTACCAAAAATATGTACTCAACATTTACTCAACATTAAGACTCCAGGCATTAGTCTCCACGAAAGGTGTTTAGTTTATTTTCTTTCAAAGCCCATTCATCCAGGTGTACACAAGCTATATTGCTCTGAATCTTCATATTCATAATTTGTCTTTTATATCACTGTAACAGAAATTTAAAGTACACTTATTCGATTAATATCGTAATTGACAAGATATTCGTGCGAACGTAGCATAAACTCTAAAAGTTTTTTTCTTTATACAAGTTTTCTAATAATCGTTTCATTCTGCTTCATTTGTTCATGTCTTATTCCAAGCAGAAGTGTGACACAAAAACTACTGATACTTAAACCATTTCTATCATAGTTTGCTGTCTTCTTACGCAGTCTTCACACTCTTCATTCTTTCCACAACTTTTTATAGAATACATCATTCCTTTCTTGCAATGACACAGATTACAGTCCAGAATGAGTATTGAGATGAGGACAGTCGAGAGAATGAAGGCAACTAACATCATTCTGGGTGATGTGATGTAGACAAATAATCCGTTATTTAGCACGAGGGGTCGACTTTCTGTAGAGAAATTTTATGGAAATAAGATCATGAAGCAAATCGTAAAATATGATTATTTTGCAATTGTTCTCAAAAGTTGTACTCGTCTAATTACACACATTACGCTTTTTGGCTAATTCTTTCCATCATAATTGAAAATTTTTTACCTGGATCTCTGCGTCTGCTACTAGAAGGTGGACTTTTATGGACTTTCTTGTTCCAGAGATTGCAAGATTTATGTTCTTCAATGGCTTCAAACTGGGTTGAACCATATAGGGTTCGTCTTTTGATTTTTTTTGTGTTTTTTGTTGCTTTGCAACCAGGCAAGCATTGAGTGAATAGGATAAAGAGATAATATAAAACAACCTTTGTATATTCACTGTGTAGATGAAAACGAGGTTGTGGATGCTTGCAATAGTCATTACATGTTCTCACGTTTGGTGGATTGTATTTTACTTTTGTTGTAAATTCTGTCTCGTTAACTGAAGAAAACAAAAGGAAATGCGTTTCAAGTTTAGATTTAAGTTTAGATTTTAATCAAATTCAGAAGTCCTTACTTTCGTTTGAAGATAGATTCTTGTGTTGATGAAAGTTCAAGGCTGTTAAGTTTGTACTCATGTAACAAGAAGTGTGATTATATACAATATATTTGTAAAATTTTCTGTCGTTTTTTAAATCAAGAACGACAATCTCGACTTCTATCGTCGTATTTGGCTGGGGCCAACAATATGCACATTTAGGAATTTTATCTTTTCGATGACACATCGTTGAACTTTAACATAATATGGCTCCCTGTCCTTGGGAATGTCAGTGAAGTTTTCATTATAAATTGAGACAACTTCTTCTTTGAGGACTGGAACTATAACGGGGACGTATAGAATACGTTGACTATATCATTTCATATGTCACTTTATATTTTATTATGGTTAAAGCCTTCGTTTGTTGTCTTACCTAACTCATTGTTTCCCCCCATTCACGTTTTCGCTCATTTCAAAAACGAACAGCATCCATAATACCCATGTATGTTTGAAGTTCTCAAAGATACCTAAGGATGACAAATATTCTTTGCATAAATATCTACCGAAACACCATCATCTATGCGCATAATGTATACTACCATGCCATGCGCATAATGTATACTACCCACGTATATTTGATGTTTTCAAGAACATCTAAGAAAGACAAAAGTCTTGCATTAAAGAAATATATACTACCCACGTATATTTGATGTTTTCAAGGACATCTAAATAAGACAAAAAGTCTTGCATTAAAGAAATATATATCCATCAAAACACAAGAATTAAAATTGATGTCATTTGACAAAGTCGTCGCTATCAACGAAATTAGGTGATGCTGTAATATTTATTTAAGTAGTACATGAAACGAGTTTTTGGAGAGTGCGTACACGTAAATATTTACATTGTTAATAATATCGCTCAATTAAACGATCCTACGTCGGCACATTATATTTTGACGTAAACATTACTGAATTATCAATTTATCATGTTTTGTGAATTAAAGACTTTATTGTGGTCACGAGCTTTAATATTGCTCTCATTAACGTATTTGTCACGGTGAACGACAATTTAAGTAATTGCAAATTAGTTAGTTACTATATAAAAAACAACTCGTCTGTTTTTGGAAATAAGTAATAAGTAATTCAGGCAGCTCATTGCTCTCAAAATATTGCAAAGTCAGCTTTGAACGCAATTCAATTCCAATGATGTTGTAGGGAAATCACATTTCAGAAATCTATTACTGTGTATGTAGCCTGTATGGGAAGAGTTTAAAGTGACTGCACAATATTGCAAAGTCAGATTTGAATTGAGGCAATTGCATGAGTTCTAATGACGTTTTAGGGAAATTACATTTTTTTATAAAACAAAGACTTTATTGTGAACACGAACTTTAATATTGCTCCCATTAACGTATTTGTCTTGGCGAACGACAATTTAAGTAGTTCTTAAGAACTGTAGAAAACTGAAATAAAGATAGTTATAAAATTATGGTGAAGTCTGCCGAAATGCATCGTGTCATTTTAATTTTATGTAATATCCTCATTTTGGTGTTCAACTGTTCTTTGAAGAACTACTCAATTGTCAATCACCACGACAAATACGCTAATCAATGCAAGAATTAAAATATTTTCTTAAATTGAAAACAAAAGACAGCAAAGCAAAGCATTTGAGCTTTTGCAAACGACAAAGTGACAATCTATTAACTGTTAAGCGGTAGCCTAGCCATCTCAAGAGTTGCATGGTCATGCTCTGTAAGTTTTTAACACGATATCATTGTTGGTTTCCTGATAGATATTGTTTTTGCAGTGAACAAACACCAAAATACGTACATAGCTGTGAAGGACTTGCTGCGGTTAACCGTTATAAACGCGACCCAAAAGTTAACGTCAATGTCGTTAATTCTTTCATGCTATCTTTTGGCTCTTGCTCTGTCAGTTGTTCGGTGTTGATTTATTTACAACTTATTCAATATATACAACGTATTAAATATACAACGTACAAATAATGCCTTGAAAACGTGCTATATGAAGTCATCTTCAGAGTCAAAATGAATGTATAATCGCTTTCATAAATATATATTTCCTAGGTGAAAGTGTGTCAAAAAGCGCTCAAATACTGGCAAATCGCATCGACAAAATATCTATAACAAATTCAACTAAAACATACAAATGAATGTAGTATGAAAGTAAAATACCTTTTCAGCATTTAAATCCATCAAATGGTTGCCCCAAAGTCCACACAAATACAAGGAAAAATAAACGCAAATATCAATGTATTGAAGAAATTGTGTTGTTTCTCATTTGTTGACCAGAAAGTAGTCGTATGTCACTCGTACGTACTCGTATTTTAGTCGTATGTACTTGTATGTACTCGTATGTCACTCGTATGTACTGTATGTACTCGTATGTACTCGTGTGGTGTTTTAGTCACGATCAAGTTTCAACTGGTTCTTTTGACTTTACTAAATTTACTTTTCTAATTTAATTGGACGTTCTTTGTTATAATAGTCAGCCTAATCCATAAACTTATCACTGAAAAGGAAAGCTCTTGAAATGATGATCTGCCAACTGACTTGATCATTCCTTTGGTCTTAATATTCTGGTTTACGAGGAAAAAGACTTTAAAACCTTCTTCAGTGGATGCCCACAAGATGATCAAGATGAGCAAAACGTTGCTAGAATATGCAACAACAAAACTTGTCCATTTTACTGCTCTCAGAACACGTCAACTTTCATCACATTCAATAATAATCATGAATTCCAGTTTAATATCAATAAAGAAAATTTAATTTAATTAAAAATATCTAGTATAAATGTTGATTTGGCAGAAATAGTGCAAATGTTATACAGCTTTTAGAATATTATCCAATTATTAGAATATTACGATCACAGTTTCTGCTGAAAACAATTCATTAACCTTAATAGCGTTGCGTGGAGTGTCATGAGTTGTACGTCATTCATCTTGTCGCACAACACAATGTTCAGCCATTTCTTGTTTTCACCGCCGTCGGAAGCTCTAAGTAAGAATGGGGGGGGTCTGAAAATTCAAATATCTTAGAGTCTCGAAATATCCTTCCACTAAAAGTAACCGCACCATTAAATTAGCCACCTTTTTAAAATTGAAATAGCCCGGCAGCTTATTATTTCGAGACTCTACGGTATGTGACTTTCACCTAGAAGATTTGGGGAAAAGCTGGGGCCTGTTAAATTTTCACAACAATTTTGAAAATTACTGAAAGGGGTTGCAGCCTGCCCAAACCCCACAGCTTCCGATGGGTCTGGTTTCAGATGCTTTATTCATTCATGTCTTCCTTTTTAGCAGAAATGTGACACAAAAACTACTGATACTTAAACCATTTCTATCATAGTCTGCTGTCTTCTTACGCAGTCTTTACACTCTTCATTCTTTCCACAACTCTTTATCGAATACATTATTCCTTTCTTACGATGACACAGATTACAGTCCAGAATGAGTATTGAGATGAGGACAGTCGAGAGAATGAAGGCAACTAACATCAATTTAGGTGATGTGATGTAAACAAATAATCCTTTATTTAGCACCCGAGGTCGACTTTCTGTAGAGAAATTTTATGGAAATAAGATCATGAAGGAAATCGTAAAACATGATTATTTTGCAATTTTTCTCAAAAGTTGTGCACATCTAATTACACACAGCACGCTTTTTGGTTAAATTTTTCAATCATAATTGAAAATTTTTTACCTGGATCACTGGGTCTGCTACGATAAGATGTACTCTTCTGGACTTCTTTGTTCCAGAGATTGCAAGATTTATGTTCTTTAATGACTTCAATCGGCTTTGAACCATCTAAGAGTTCTGTTGTGACAATCTTCGGTTTCTCTGTTGCTTTGCAACCAGGCAAGCATAGAGTGAATGGGATAAAGAGATAATTTAAATCAACATTTTTATATTCACATTTCTTTGTATATTCACTGTGCAGATGAAAACGAGGTTGTGGATGCTTGCAATAGTCATTACATGTTCTCACGTTTGGTGGATTGTAGTTTACTTTTGTTGTAAATTCTGTTTCGTTAACTGTAAACACAAAAGGAAAAGCGTTTCAAATTTAGATCTCAGTTTAAATTTTAATTAAATACAGAAGTCCTTACTTTCGTTTGAAGATAGAGTCTTGTGTAGATTAAAGTTCAAACCTGTTAAGGTGTCATTCCAGTAACAAGAAGTGTGATTATATACAATATATTTATAAAATTTTGTGTAGTATTTTAAATCAGGAACGACAATCTCGACTTCTGTCAATGTCATAGGTTGGGGCCAACAATATGAACATGCAGGAATTTTTTCTTTTTTGATGACACATCGTTGAACTTTAACATAATATGGCTCCCTGTCCTTCGGAATGTCAGTGAAGTTTTCATTATAAATTGAGACAACTTCTTGCTTGAGGACTATGAATATAGAAAATGAATATTAATGTTAACTCATTTTCAGCATGATTCAAATCATTATTTGTTTTTGTACCTGGTTTATTGTTAGTAGTCTTGTTATCTGTTTCACTATGCACATTCTTGCTCATGAACACCACACATATTATGCATGTATATATAAAGTTTTTAAAGACACCTAAAGAAGACAAAGATTGTTTTTCAGAAAATTCATTATTTAATGCTCATTATTACACACGTGAACTGCTCATTTTACGAAGCATTTATTTTATCGTAAAAAATTACAAGGGGTGTTGGGTTATGGTGTATTGTTTCAGTAAATCACTCAATTATATTATTAACAAAATAAATTCATTAATCGTAGAATTATGTCATCAAACAAATTTGTCAACACTAATAAAAGTATCTTTAACAGTCTTATTTATAAGAAATTCATTAAATAATTTTCTTGAAGACTAAATTTATGCATTTCCTCCATCATTAATAAACATGCATTGCTCACCCATTTCTTCTGTTTTTACAAGCTGATTTCTCAAAGATATCTTGTACAATGTCAGGTGTATTGTCTCTCTTATAATTCACAACTTAGCTTCGCTTTTTAAATGATGAGTTCTGAAAAGTTTTTATACTCTCTAATTTCAATAGCATGGTTTTATAAACCTCAAAATTTAAGATTTTAACCACAATTAAGATGGAAATTAGTCTTCAAAGACATCCTATATTTTGATAAGTACTATGAATATATTTGAACGGAATGTCATTTATATGTAATCATTATGTAGGTACTCTCATTTAATTGTTTATTTACTATACAATCAATGTTTATTCATCCCTGAACCATTGAAGATGACTCATCAAATCTCAGTAATCAACCAGTTTTTCAACCAGTTTTATATTGAAGTATTTTAGGTCGTTATTAATTTATAAACTGGCACTTGAAATGTTAAGATTTCTTACTCTTAAACCATTGTTTGCTTCACTTAATTAAGTTACTGTAAAATTCAAATCATAAAGAAGAATCTGAAAGCGTGGGCCCATAGCATAATTTTTCTCTCATTATTCTCTCATATTCTGCACTATGGTCAGGCTGGCCTACCTCTCAACTTGCTTAAAACTTAATTTTTACACTGTTAATCATATCTCTCAATTAAACGATCCTACGTCGGCACATTATATTTTGACGTAAACATTACTGAATTATCAATTTATCATGTTTTGTGAGTAATATGTAATGGGAAGAATTTACAGATATAATGAATTGTCGAAATGCCAAGTTACATAGCTATTTAATTGAGATGTAATTGTTGATTTGCTGCTGGCAAATTCCGGGTAAATTTTTCTTTTAATTGTTTTATATAGCCGGGCAACAAAGATGTGTCAAATTGTTTACGTGGCTATATTTTTAAAATAGGAAGAGCAAACACGCATTCTAGCGCTTCTTGTAGATTTTGATAATTTTTGTTTGTCTTGGATTATGGTGTGCTACGGTGGCTATATATCCATTTAACTATTTGCGTGTTACAAAATTTTAAAGCTACATTTATATCATTGTTGTCATTACTACAGCTAAAAACGATTGGATATGTATTATTTTTTTGACAATATTGCCTTCTTTATTCAAAAAATGAACTCCATGACTTGTCCGAGAACATAAAATTATTTGATAGCTATATAGAATTACAAATTAGTTAGTTACTATAAAAAAACAACTCGTCTGTTTTTGGAAATAAGTAATAAGTAATTCAGGCAGCTCATTGCTCTCAAAATATTGCAAAGTCAGCTTTGACGCAATTCAATTCCAATGATGTTGTAGGGAAATCACATTTCAGAAATCTATTACTGTCTATATAGCCTGTATGGGAAAAGTTTTAAGTGACTGCACAATATTGCAAAGTCAGATTTGAATTGAGGCAATTGCATGAGTTCCAATGACGTTTTAGGGAAATTACATTTTTTGTACAAAACAAAGACTTTATTGTGGTCACGAACTTTAATTTTGCTGTGATTAGCATATTTGTCATGGTGAACGACAATTTAAGTAGTTCTTAAGAACTGTAGAAAACTGAAATGAAGATAGTTATAAAATTATGCTGCAGTTTGCCGAAATGCATCGTGTCATTTTAATTTTATGTAATATCCTCATTTTGGTGTTCAACTGTTCTTTGAAGAACTACTCAATTGTCAATCACCACGACAAATACGCTAATCACAGCAATAATTCTTAAATTGAAGACAAAAGACAGCAAAGCAAAGCATTTGAGCTCTTGCAAACGACAAAGTGACAATCTATTAACTGTTAAACGGTAGCCTAGCCATCTCAAGAGTTGCATGGTCATGCTCTGTAAGTTTTTTAACACGATATCATTGTTGGTTTCCTAATGGATATTGTTTTTACAGTGAACAAATACCAAAATACAGGGGCGGATCTAGACCGATGCAACCGATGCGAATGCATCGGTCAAAATATTTAGATAATAAAATCTGCAAGTTTGCATTTTAATGAAATAAATAGCAAATATTATTTTCGAATTATTTAAAACGCACATTTGACAGTGATATATTGTTTAGTTAACTTATAGATTTAGCAGTTTTAAGCTAAAATTTGTTCTAGAAATAACATTTGTGTTCTCCGATAATTTTGTCGTATTCCATGACACAAATAGCGAAAGAAAAGTCGATAAAATTTAGCGAAATTTTGTCGTGAATACATAATTAGTAAGTAATTTAATAGTATTCTGCGACACGTCACGGTAGATGGAAGAGGCATCGCTACGTCACAGTAGATTTGCGATGCATCGGTCGATGCATCGGTCCCGAGTCCTTTTCCGCGTGAAATCTACTGTGACATCAGCAAAACCATTGTTTTAGGGCCCACGTCACGGTAGATTTTGCCGCTGAGCGATGCATTTTCCATAATTTTGTGATTGTGGGCACATGCACCGATGCATTCAACTTTGAACTTCAAAGTTGAATGCATTGTTATTGATCACTTGATATAACTCGCAATCATCGATCGAAGTCATGGCTGTCGAGAATATCAAACACGATCTGTGTACTCTGCTTCGAGAAGAGAAGTCATTTGATATTAATGGAGTGCGTCGAACCTATGAAACGAGAGCTGCTACTTTTATTTCAAAATCCTCTCCTTGGAATCCCTTTTCAAAGGGTAAAAATGGGAGAGATATGTCAAGTGAAATGTTAATACCTAAGCACTTGACAGTTCATTGGCAAAGTGGAGAACTAAGAGCTTTAAAGTAAGTAAATTTACCTTTATGCTTGCATGTTTTAAATGTAAATAGTGTACTCATTTCAGACTCAGAGTGTAGTCGTGTAGATAACGACGAACAATCATCATAAAATATACACGATGTCATATTACTTATGCAGCACTTATACTTGTATTCATATGTAATATAATACAAACTGTAATATGCAGGGGTAGGTGCGATTTTAGTTGCATTTTAGTTTATGTATTGTATGGATTACATTAAAAATGTAATGACTGTATTCCTTCTTCCAATATACTTATGACTTCAGTAGAAGCTAACATTTTCTTTTCCAAATAACCCTGTCAGACATTTAAGTTTTGATATTTTCTGACTTCTAATTTTTAGCCACACAATGAGAATTTTCTTAACTCTGCTATATTTAGAACTAGAGGTGATGGTAATTGTCTGTACAGAGCCTGCTCAAAATTACTTTGTGGCAAGGAAGACCTATGTCATTTGCTGAGAGACTTGACAAGCATTGAGCTATTCAATCACCAGGAGTATTATGCTAACCACCCTTACTTAAAAGATAAGTTGCATTTTTTTAAGTCAGAAAATACTGCTTTTTCTGCATCAGTATCAGATGTGGCTTTAGGCAATGGCTATGATAGGAAAAATCCAAGCACAAAAAGTAATAGTAGTTAAAGGTAATAGTAGTTAAAGAGGAAGCCCTAAATAATGCATGCAATGGTACTTATTCTTCACTTATGTGTATACTTGGTTTGTCTTCTGTCACTGGAATGACTATAATTTCAGTTTATCCCGAAAAGTTGGACCAGGAGACCAAATATTCACAATTTCTAAATGGTAAAATTCTTCCACGGCAAGCACACCAACATATTTCAAGTCAACTTGTTCAGCCTGCTAAGTTAATTTTAATGTGGACAACTACTGGTGCTTATTCTTTTCCAGAATTAGATGTAGAATTTCAACCCAATCATTTTGTACCACTAATTGAATTGAATCAAACTAATAACTCAAGAGTTAATAATAAAAAAAATTACTGACCACTTTAAAGTTGATGTCTTACAGAAAAATAAAAGTGGACTTGAGCAACAAATAGACACAACTTTGGTAGCACCTGCAAAATCCTCACCAAGGGAAGACTTAGATGGCAGCAGCTTTGATTGCTTGAAGACTTCCTTAAAACGTGGGTTAAATTAGCGATTGTTCATGTGCAAATATATTTTAATTATAGGTAAGCATGCTTTTCTAAGAACATAAGTAAAGCATACCATGCAATATAAAGTATTTGTTGTGGGATGGAGGATATTTTTTGTACATGTGAATAAATCCTTCCTTCTAAACATGAGATCGTCAAATTGGCAACAAGCTTTCACTCAAATGCACCAAAAACAATGACCTATGATATATGACCTTGCATGTTAACGCATTCAGGCTTTATTATTTTGAATGTAGTCGTATACCTACATCTTAGTAATGTTTTATTTAGGACCTCTTTCATGCGACTTTGAAGATGGAAAAGTATCAAATGCTTCTTGTCCCTTGTCAAAATCTGTAAAAACTGATCTGACAGATGTTGATCCCTTGGATATTGGACATTTTGTATCTGTGGCGGCCCTAGATGACGACACAAAGCTAAGACTTATAACAAATCACTGGAAGCCTCCCCCTTCTTTCTTGATCACTTGATTGAACAGATGGAATTTCGGTTTTCTTCAGAGGTGTGCGATATTTATCGTGGATTCTATATTATACCTAGTATTTTTCTCAATTGCAAGGACGTTAATTGGAAGGAAGAGTTTATGAAGCTTGCTGTTGCATATAAAGAGGATATGCCACACTTTCGGAAAATACATGCTGAATTAGGATTGTGGGAAACAAATTGGAAAGGGGGCTTTGAGAAAGTTAAGTACGATTCAATTGCCGACACGCTTCGAACTGGTAACAAACTTGCGTTTCCAAATATATTTACAGCGCTTAAGATACTCGCTGTTGTGCCAGTCACTACATGTGAGTGTGAAAGATCCGTTTCTGCCCTTCGTCGAATGAAAACTTGGTTACGTAGCACAATGATCAACGAAAGTTTAAATGGATTAGCCCAAATGCATATTAATGATGATATTAAGTGTGATGTCGAAGAAGTGATTAATACCTTTGCTAGACAAAACCCAACGAGGATGCAATTTCTTGATATCCTGGAGGATAAAGAAACAGATGCTTGACGATGAGCTCCATGAGAAATTCTTAATGCTGATAAACAACCTACATTTTCTTTGAGAGCTATCTTGTTTTCAGCCGTTATTGAGAGGACGAAGACCACGTTTAAACATTGATTTTCTTAAACATTTCATCTTTGCTGTGGTTGGAAGAAGACGATCTTTCAACATTGCTTTTATAATTGTTGTCATCTTTGCTGCCGTTAGAAGAAGACCATCTTTGAACATTGCTTTTATTAAACTTTTCATCTTTTTTACCGTTGGAAGAAGACCACCTTTGAACATTGCTTTTATCAATGCTGTTATCTTACAAAAGACGGCTCATGTTATTTTTTCGATAAAATTTACGCTTAAGATTTTTCTGTCACCTTTCCCAAATCGCTGGAAAATGCTTCTCGGATAGTGAAAATTCAAAATTTGGGGAGCATGCCCCAGACCCCTAGGTTTCGCGCTTCGGCGCTCGCAATGCATCGGTCAGCTAAGGAGCTGGATCCGCGCCTGCCAAAATACGTACATAGCTGTGAAGGACTTGTTGCGGTTAACCTGTTATAAACGAGACCCAAAAGTTAACGTCAATGTCGTTAATTCTTTCATGCTATCTTTTGGGTCTTGCTCTGTTAGTTGTTCAGTGTTGATTTATTTACAACTTATTCAATATATACAATCAAATACTACATATTAGCATCGTTTTGTAATATGATAATTAGTTATTATAACATCGATGTACGCCGGTGGCCATTATTACACAAATAATATTCCGGTTATACATCTTCATATTTTTCCATTGTTAAAGCGATTGTTTCTGTTTGTGTGCAGCGGTTAAAAATATTAACTTCTTGCACAACTCTCTTTCGTAGTTTAAGGATTTTTGAGACCGAAAGCAAACTGAGACTGCAGGATATTTTACTCATATATAAATCGTGTATAATATTAAACAATCACTGTCGGGCACCGTAAGATATTATTTACCACTATGTAGTTAAGCTTGTGCATACGGCCTGGTTTTCATGTCTGTTCATAAGCATTTGATATTCATTTTGTCGTTTGCCGAAGAATAGACTGAGTAGTCTCCTTTTAACCGCTTGCTGTCAAAAGTCTCCTTTTGACCGCTTGCTGTCAAAAGAAGTTTTGTATTTTACTAAAATAAAGTTTTCTATGTAACTAATCAGATCTACACATAAATACTCGATGGGTTTTCCCTTTTTAATGTTTCGATATCATTGCTTATTTTAGTTATTTATTGCAGTATGTCTTTCATATGCATTGACTTGTATATTACAGACAATGAAAATAATATATTCGCCCACGACTGCTGTCATGCTGGGTTATTATAAGGACACATACGTGCAAATATTGGTTGCTTTGTTTTTGTGTGCGTCTATGGTATTCTCATTCAGTAATTCAAACTATATTAGGAGCTAAATTTGTCTCTGGCATTATAGAAATGCTTTGAAAAGATAGTTTAACTTTACTCGTAAAATATTTTAAATTTTGAATGTTTTCGTCCAAGATTTCGTGTGAACGATCGGAATGCTACTGTAACAGTCTCAGACATTCCACACTACATTCGATACATAAGAACTTGAAAATAGAAATCTAGCTATGTTATCGTAGATATTAATTCAAGCTTGACTTATACAAAGATACTCTTAACACATGTATACAATTAAACAATTATCTTTGCTGCTAAAAGAATAAAAATTTGCGAACTTCCTTAATACATAATGTCATAAAGAGTGCATGATTTAAAAGAAACTGCAGGAAAACGTTTTTCGTTTTTCGTCTGTCAGCACCAACTTTACCATAAAGCCTAGTTCACATATACTTGTAATTGTTGTAATTCGATCGGTGATGAATGTTTGCAGCAATTACAACTATAAGTAAACGCGCGTTGTCATTGTTGTAATTGTTGTAATTGTTGTAATTGTTGTAATTTAATCGCAGACAAATCGAGAGCTGTTCAAGAAGTTGAGCTTGTCCAACTCTTACAACATTTACAACATAAGAAATTTACACGTGAACGATTATCGGCGATGGCAATTCATCTTTACTTTCGAATTCTTGTACGATAAATGATCAAATTTGATACTAGTAAGTATCACCTGAATTACAACAACTACAACTATATATGAATAGGTAGTGTTGTAAATCATTTGTATTGTATAAAATCAGTTGGAATCCGAATGTATGAAATCAGTTGAAATGTAAGAAATCAACTGGAATGTACAAATCAGTTGGAATGTATCGAATCAGTTGGAATGTATCAAATCAGTTGGAAGGTATCGCTGATGAAATTACAGCAATTACAATTGTATGCGAAGTACGCTTAAATAGGCGATGACGAAATTGTCTGTACTGACTCATGCTCTAACTACACCTATGCGCGTTAAATGTCATATGCTATATCTTGCCAAAAGTTTTTTTTGCTCGAATTTGTACTCACAAAGGCAAGCGGGCTAAACAGACAAGTATTTTAGTAGAGTCGTTAAATTTTACCCTAAACCAAGACGAATTTGTCGTTATATCTTCCCGAGATAATCTTTTGCTGTAGATGCAAATTTTGTATTGTTATGTGTATGTATACTTTCGTATTTACTTATCTGATGAGATATTGTGTAAATGTGTAAGTAATATTAATCATTGAAAATAAAGACTTTTTATCAATCCCCCTATTAGTCTGATGATGTCTTTGGAATAAAGACAAAATATTACACAATCTGTTGTCTATAACTCTTGTATCATTTTGATTATTAAGAAAACGAGATGTCTGTTTTCGGAATTTGTTTTATTTTATTTTACTTAAAATTGTCTGCTTGTCCTGGTTATTAATCCCCTATTTATCTTACCAAAACATTGATTAAACAAAAAGAAACCTTTAACTAACATAGGTGGGGTTTCCTTTGAAATACGCATAAATCACTACAATATCACAGAAACGAACTGTTGAAAATCTTAACATATTAATGTTCAATAAAATACTTTATTATAGACAACCCTATTAAAGTCTGCCATCGAAAACTTTATACTTATTTAAAAATGTTTTATTAAATCTTACAATGCTTTCCTTATGGTGTAGAGTTATGGTTATTTAGAGACACAAATAACTTCTAAATAACCACGAGAGAACTAGATGAAATATTTAAGACTAAATAATGATTACCTTTTGTTTTTTCTTCAGTCCGTTCACTTTACACTCGCAAATTTAACTATAACACTTTGTAAAATAGGTATTTTTATACAATACGTACATTGTTAGTCACGCACTGATTACTGCAAATGACGTTTTTTGCCTCATTGTTTCAATATCTCTTTGTATAGAGAGTTTTTGTAATAACGTCATCCTTGTTTGCACGGCGGAAAACGTCTATGTATGTTGAAGTTCCAAATACTTTTTGCCGACAAAATTTGTTTTTAAATCATAAGCGGACTCAGCGTTCGGCAAAATAAAGTTATATAGCTCAATTCGATTTTATATTCGAAAAATACGTTCAAAAACACTATTGGTTCGGAATTTCTAATGAATATAAGTTTACCAATGCACTTGCATCTAAAATGTTTGTAAACTTGTAAATATATTGTAAAAGGAGCTGCAGTAATTTATTTTTTGACGTACCCCGGTCCGGCACTGTTTTTATTAATAGCAAGCTAACTTGATTAGATCTTATGACGTATATTGGCTTATGTTAGAGTTACTGCAAATTAATTATCATTTAGTATTGCATGAGATCAGAGCTCCGCCCTACTGTGAGATAATTTTTGTCAGTTTTTTTTGTAAGATTTTAAATTCATGTGCTCCATTTTTATTGTTTTAAAAAAGTATTCGCTGAAGAAATCATTATATTTACCAATATATAAACTGCCGATAATTTTACAACAACTATAGTTTTGACTCACCCATTGCTTTTCTTTTTCCAATATGAGCGAGCGAACAATTTCTCACAATAATTTCGATTTTCTTTGGTTTGCTATTTTTTGACAGTCTTCAGCTGTTCTTGTATGTGCAGCCGAGTACAAAGTATGAATGAATCTCCAAGCGTCGGTTCTATTTATTTGCTCTACTTTTTGCTACCTGGAATCTTCCAGTTTGTTCGAAAGGAGTGAAAGTTCTTCCTTGCCTCCGAAATGCGCTGTCAGATAAGGATGATGTGTTTTTATGTGCTAACCGCAAGTCAGTTTCGACGGAAATTTTCATAATGTTTTTGAAAGCATTCAGTCCAAAACATAAAATCTTTTCGTAAAACATGTGTGGCTACCTGATTTTTTTCATTGCAGAAATATATTATTCACTCAAGCTTCATACAGTATGTTCATGTAATTTGTTACATTTTTGCTTTTTTAATAGTGTTTGGTGGTTAGTGGTGTATAGTACCTGGTTATTACTATGGTGAAAGGCATGTGTCTATATAAAGAAATCTGTCAATACAAATATCTTTATTTTATTTTAAAACCCTTTCATTCTTAACTTGTAATCATGTGAAAATGCAGTGGCAAGTCAAGTAAAATTAACCATTAGCTCTAAATAGTCTTTTAAAAGACGGTTCGTTTCGTTGTAATCATACATTATTTTATGATGTAGCTACTGATCTGTTTTTCAGTGGATTCGATATTTATGTTAAAATCTTGGAGTACATATGTTTGGTGTACAACTTTATATCATACATTATCATACATGATATGCGCTAGGCAAGTTAATTGAGGTTATCTTTATTCACGTTTTAGTTAGTATTGTGACGTTAACTAAACAATGAAAATGGTTGCTTATAAGCATGAAATTATTTATCATAACAGTTCGGTTTCGCATTGTGGTTTTACTATTGTGGTCAGTTTCGAATTATTTTTTGCTTAGTAACGTGACTGTGAACTAAAAACTAGAATTTTTCATCCACAATATCGAAATGTGATTGTTAAATGAAAGCGATTTAACTTGATGTTTTGCCAATAAGTTTGAAGAATTCTCCATGCAAACAATCGAGGTTAAAAACATTTTACTTAAATCTTTAACTAACTTTGGAGTAATTCCTCAGTCAATGATACCTGAAACTAAATTACTTTTTATTGGAAATTTAGGGTGGGTAATGTGACGGGGGGCGGATTTAGAGTGATGGGCGAAGCGGCGGCGCGCGCTTCCCCTTTGACGGAAAAGTACCCAACAAATAGAATAATATAATACAAAATGACAGGCCAGTTACAGTTTCCAAACTAATTCAAAGGGTTCGGCTTCCTCTTTCATAATCTCTTGGAATTCATGAAACATTTTATATGGTTGATTCAAATTACGGATTTAAACTTTGCGTTCTTCGCATATATTCATATTTTTGCCCTAAAATCATTACGGTGTTTTTCATCTGTGATTATTTCAAAAATAATCGGACAAAAAAGCTTTAATTTTTCTTTCCTTAAGACAATACTTGTATCCACAGCATCTTGGTGTCACGATGGAAAATGTGCGAGAATACAGAAGTTTCCATTTACCAAAAATTTGTACTTATCATTTACTCAACATTAAGACTCCAGACATTAGTCTCCATGAAAGGTGTTTAGTTTATTTTCTTTCAAAGCCCATTCATCCAGGTGTACACAAGCTATATTGCTCTGAATCTTCATATTTATAATTTGTGTTTTATATCACTGTAACAGAAACTTATAGTACACTCATTCGATAAATATCTTCATTAACAAGATATTCGTGCGAAAGTAGCATAACTTCTAAAAGTTCTTTTCTTTATACAAGTTTTCTAATAATCGTTTCATTTTGCTTCATTTCTTCCTGTCTTGTTCCAAGCAGAAATGTGAAGGAAAAACTACTGATACTTAAGCCATTTCTAACATAGTCTGCTGTCTTCTTACGCAGTCTTCACACTCTTCATTCTTTCCACAACTCTTTATAGAATACATTATTCCTTTCTTACGATGACACAGATTACAGTCCAAAATGAGTATTGAGATGAGGACAGTCGAAAGAATAAAGGCAACTAACATCATTCTGGGTGATGTGATGTAGACAAATAATCCGTTGTTTAAAACGAGGGGTCGACTTTCTGTAGAGAATTTTGATGGAAATAAGATCATGAAGCAAATCGTAAAATATGATTATTTTGCAATTTTCCTTAAAAGTTGTGCTCGTCTAATTACACACATTACGCTTTTTGGTTAATTTTTTCAATCATAATTGAAAATTTTTTACTTGGATCACTGCGTCTGCTATTAGAAGGTGGACTTTTATAGACTTTTGTATTCCAAAAATTGCAGGATAAGTGTTCTCTGACAACTTCATATTGGGTTGAACCATCTAGGGCTTGTGTTTTGATGTTCTTTGTGTTTTTTGTTGCTTTGCAACCAGGCAAACATTGAGTGAATGGGATAAAGAGATAATTTAAAACAACCTTTGTATATTCACTGTGCAGATGAAAACGAGGTTGTGGATGCTTGCAATAGTCATTACATGTTCTTACGTTTGGTGGATTGTATTTTACTTTTGTTGTAAATTCTGTTTCGTTAACTGTAAACACAAAAGGAAAAGCGTTTCAAATTTAGATTTAAGTTTAGATTTTAATCAAATTCAGAAGTCCTTACTTTCGTTTGAAGATAGATTCTTGTGTTGATGAAAGTTCAAGGCTGTTAAGTTTGTACTCATGTAATAAGAAGTGTGATTATATACAATATATTTGTAGAATTTTGTGTCGTTTTTTAAATCAGGAACGACAATCTCGACTTCTATCGTCATATTTGGCTGGGGTCAACAATATGCACATTTAGGAATTTTATCTTTTTCCATGACACATCGTTGAACCTTAACATAATATGGCTCCCTGTCCTTGGGAATGTCAGTGAAGTTTTCATTATAAATTGAGACAACTTCTTCTTTGAGGACTGGAACTATAACGGGGACGTATAGAATACGTTGACTATATCATTTCATATGTCACTTTATATTTTATCATGGTTAAAGCCTTCGTTTGTTGTCTTACCTAACTCATTGTTTCCCCCATTCACGTTTTCGCTCATTTCAAAAACGAACAGCATCCATAATACCCATGTATGTTTGAAGTTGTCAAAGATACCTAAGGATGACAAATATTCTTTGCATAAATATCGACCGAAACACCATCATCTAAATGAACTATGTCGTTTGACAAATTTGTCTTCGCAAATGATAGTTTAACGGTGATTTAATATTCATGACTTCTTCATCAATATCTAAAACAAACCAATTGATGTGTTGTTCGTGCTGAGCTCACATAATGTACTGCAGCGACAAATGCACATTGAAGACGATTTCAAGCCGACACATACTCTTAATTTATATAGTAAATGTACAGAGATCAAACACGTTTTGATTCGAATTTTTTGAATGATTACAGTAATTTTGATTATTTTTTAAAAAAATTATTTGTTAGTTTTAGTCAACAAGTTACCGCTCCCCTTGCCCTCAATATGTCTGTTGTTGCAATCACCATGGATAAACAGTTAAATAGACGTTTGACTGTAGTACTGTAGTTAAAGCAAGTTTTACTTGAGACTAGGTTAACGCATCTTTATTTTTTTATAAATGCTCTGCTCACCCATAATGTCTGTTCTCATGTCAGCTGATTTCTTATAGCTATATCTTTCTAATTCACTGCTTAGCTATTCTTTTGTATGTGATGAATTCTGATAATGCACATGCTTTGATTAGGGAAGCATTTTATACTTTCTAAGTTTCTAAATATGTTACAATGATGAATGTTGGTTAACCGCAATTATCATATAAGAACTATGTGGTAATTGTAACAAATGGTAAATATACTTTATTTAAAGTGTGTAAAATTACTTTGAGACATCGAAGATGATTAATCAAAACTCAACATTTAAAACTGTTTAATAGTTGTGAATATCTTAAATTAATAACAGTCTTGATAAGTTGAGCTATTTCTTAAATGCTTGCAGCCAACAAACCGGTTATCTTTATTACAGTAACATGATTAGTACGATGTGATTTTTTCTGGAACATGGAAATATATGATGTAGAATAAAATTGTTATTAAGGAATGTGTTAGTTTGCTTTGAGATTGAGGAAGTAATTTTCTATTGCTAACATCTCTATGTTCTCAAAGTACTACAGTCAGTCGAGGTCGTTCGGTGCATAAATGTTTAGATTTGAAGTTTTAATGTCGATTTAATTTCATCGATGTTGTAGGTAAAATATATCTTAAAAATTTAATGTCAAGCACGTAGAGATTTTCAGCGAATTACGCAATGTGTTAACATAAAGTGTGTTGAATTAATCTCTTGTATGAAATTCATCGAATGTACAAACATCAAGTGTGTTAACCATAAAGTCACTTATTACAGGTGAAATTGATACGTTTTAATTCATTGGATTGTTCTTCTACTTTTCCCTCATTTCTTATTAATTGTATTTCTAAATAAATTGTTTGATAAATTTTTTCCTGTTTCTTTCGACTTTGTTACGGAAATGTAACACTTGACTTAAACTTTTCCTAACTACTCTGGCAATTGTTAAATAACTTTTATATTACGTATATAAAGCGCATCCTAATTAGTTGCCTTGATTTTTTGCCAATGGCATGCGCATAATATATACTACCCACGTATATTTTATGTTTTCAAGGACATCTAAATAAGACAAAAAGTCTTGCATTAAAGAAATATATATCCATCAAAACACAAGAATTAAAATTGATGTCATTTGACAAAGTCGTCGCTATCAACGAAATTAGTTGATGTTGTATTTCAATATAATATTAGAGCTCAATAATTTTAAACATAGTCATAAACAATTTGTTTTATGAAATTTATTAAAGAGGATGTTTCATCTTTACTCAAGACATCTTCAGACTAATTAGGTGTCTTGAGTAAAATGCGTCTTGACTAATTAGGTGTCTTCAGACTAACTAGATGTCTTGAGTAAAGACGAAACGTCACTCTTTTAATAAATTTCATAAAACCAAATTGTTTATGACTATGTTTGAAATTATTTGTTGGACTCTAATATTTATATTGAGAAACCGTTCCCGCCTGGCACTTCATTGGCAACAATATTGATGCTGTAATATTTATTTAAGTAGTACATGAAACGAGTTTTTGGGGAGTGCGTACGTAATTAATATTCTCCACGGAGGCAATAATGCAATTAAAATAGTTAGGAAAACACGGCAATTTTATGACCTGTGATATGCGGTACGTTGCCAGCTGACGATTTCAAGCTTGTCAATTGTTTATACATCATCGGCTGCCTAGAAATCACTTAACGCTTCTTTAGAATCGATTTATCCAAATATTTTCCTCGATTCACAGCTGTATGCTATGTTTGTCATCACGTGTGCGATAGTCATTGATATCACGTGTCTTCCACGTATGTATTGGTCTTAAAGTGCTTATCTCACAATTTTTTTTTCAAATTTTCGTATTGCTTCTTCAAAAGTAATCTAAAACTTATATTACAATTTTTTCATGCGCTGCGTTGTTTTTGAATTATTATTGATCAAATATGAAATTTGACAGTAAAGTTGATAATTGGCATAGGCTTGGATCAAGTCTCTGTGACGTAACTTAAGGAACAAGTCAAGGGCTTGTTGTTATCAACGATTAGATGGCGGAGTTGAATTCTGATTCGGAAAGCTCTCATAGTTCGCAATGTGATTCGGAGTATGATTATATTCCCGGTTATGTCATCGAGGACGAAACAAGGAACATTAACGACCAGGAATATAATATAATAGATGAAAGTCACGGCGAGTCCGAGTCCTATCTATACGCTGATGAACCAATGGCCGAACAAGCATGGTATGAAGACTACGTGGAAAAGACCGAAAAGTCAAATGAACATAAAAAGCAACTTGAAATGCTACAAAAAAGACTTGACCACACAGTTGAGTTGAGTTCTTGGTGAGTAATAAAATTTCTAATTTCAATTCAACTTATGAAATGTATTTCAATTCAGGTTTCAAGTTATGAAATATAGACATGAACGAGCAATTATCTATTCAAGATTACCATCGCTTTTTTTTACTTTTGGGCAAAAAATTGTTAAAAGATGCTCGATTACAATTTTTTAATGTGATTTTCTTTATTGATCAGGTGCAAGTGTGGTTTTTGTCAAGTTACACTTCTTCAGAATCCTCAAGAGGCCTGGTGCTGCCAAGAACTTAAGCCTGTAGCTGAAAGCTTAACACACTAGTCGGTTCTGGCAGATCTGTCAACTATTCCATGTTGTGTCACTCTACACCCAGGTTTCAGACCAGTTTGTTTGGAAAAGTGGTCGCTAAAAATGGCTGCTAGGAAATACAAAACCAAAGAACAAAGACGATACAGAGAAACAGGATCTGAAAACATGTATGATAGCATATTATGTTATTTCCCAGTATTTAAGTATATTTTAGTGTTATGACACATTAGTAACGATTTGGCTTTATATTCAGGTTTTTACGATGTGTTGCATACAGAGAATTCACATCTATGATTTATGGATGCTTAGGAGAAGAAAGAAGACCATTACCAGCATGTGCATACCATGCAATAAGATCAAAATTTAATGATAAAAAGTTGGAATTTAGAGGGTACGAAGAAAATGAAATAAATGAGTGAAGTGAAAATTAAGTTTTGCTATTTTTGGGGCAATCTGCCACATGTTTGTGACCTTTCATTGGCTTCTTGCATGTAAAACATTTCGACTGACTTTTTTCTTTTGAAACTGCCACATTTGACTTACAGCTGAATGGCACACTGGTAGCTGCTGGCATGAAACAAAAACATTTTTATTATTTAAAATGATTTTCAAACCATGTTTAGCTACAACATGTTATATAATCATTATTAATTACCTGGAATTGAGGGGGTGACATCATTGACCACAATGCATTTTTGACGGACCTGTTTTATTAGCACCTCAGATCTGGTTTGCTTTTGCAGCATGACATTCATTGGTGGTGGGGACATTTCTTTCAAAAGATTTTGTGAATTTGATAATGCGTCTTGGTCTTTTATTGACAGCATCACACTCTCCAATAATTCATCCACATACTCTAAAAAGAAATTATTGTCGTATTCAATACTATGAAATGATGCAAAGCAACACATTTAGCAACAACTTACCAAATTTGGGCTTAACTCTGACATCCCTCACAGTTCCTTCACCATTTTTAAACTTTGGATACACCACATTTATTTGGGAACTGCCATCATTCTTCATCTTTACATCACGCCTTAAGTTGTTGTTGAAGTGGATGGATGCCAAAATGTGTCTAAAACAATAAAGACTTGTGGAAGTTACAAAACAACTAACATTGTCATATAGGAAATTTTCGCCCACCTGCAATACATTCCAACATAAGAATAATGAATCATTTTTGGAGCAAAATGATTCAGGACAGAATGGAATCCTTCCAAACAACTTGTTTGAGCAACTGGTGAAGCCTGTTGAATTGACTTCATCAGCTGTGGGTGTAACAATTTAGCACAAAGCTTTTCATGAGCAATTGAACCTTAAACATTACAACAAAGAATGATGATAAACTGTTAGGGAAGTTATCTTTAAATAATGCCTTCACAAACCTTCTAACAAATATTCCCTTGGTTGAATATCAGGCCATGAAAACAACTTGAAAACAGTGGATCATCCAACTGGTGTGCTTGTCTACTATGTGACTCAGGAAAGATTTGAACTTTGCCCAAATTACTTTGCCATCACCATCATAAGTAGAACAAGCACTCCAATAGAAATGGTTGCCACAGGGTTTGACCCACTTTTTCAATTCTTCACAACCTTTTTCTTTGCTAAGCTTTGTTATTATTTTGGTTAATTCTATAAAACAGTATCATTAAATTGGCTATTAATGACATGCAAATCCATACTCCTCTCAAGATTTTACATCTTAAATTCAGCTTACTTTTTTTTAGATGCCATAAATCAAAATAGTGCTTCACATGTGCCATTTTCCCTCATATGTTTACTGATAGATATGTGTCTATCAGATATAAATGTTGATAATTGTATGCCACTGCTTGAAAACAGCCAAATACTTAGTCGGTGTCCATCGAGCGCGTTTTCTTGCAACAAAATTCACCCAGATTTTACGTCTTCGCTTCGCTTCAGGACGCTCATCACCGTAAAATGGTATACGGTGAATAGAAATTCCTTCCGCAGAATTTGCTCGGTTTGAACAGCCGAAAACTGCACATCTATCAGGCATTTTGATGCAGAGTCGTAGTAGATGAAGTAGAAATTATAGCAAAAATCACACTTCAGAAAAACTTCCTGTCCTTATGTTACGTCACATACTTCTCGATTCAGGCTCTCATCAAGCAAATTGAACGCGCAGCAATTTTCTCCATTATTGCCGATTTTGAGAAAAGAAACGCATTTATCTCATAAACGAAGCGATCAATCAGAAAATTGTAAAATAACTTTTAGAATAATTTTTTTACCTCAATCAGAAAATTAAAAAAAAAAATTGTGAGATAAGCACTTCAACAGTAATATTTTCACAATGTCGGCAAGTTTCACCAAAAAAAATGACAGGTCACTAACACAAAACAGTAATAAAGTGAATGGTTGAACCCCGGGAGTATCTTAACATGTTTTTGGATGAAGATCGTCCAGGTTAGTACAGTCCTGTGAAGGACTGTTGGTATTGATGTAGACTGACTTTTCGACAACCTTAGCGGTACTCATTTTCAGAGTCAACTTAACTCTGACTGACGTCAGCTTTTTATAATAAGCATGACAGACGTAGCTATGATTTTTCAACACGGCCATCGCGAAAGTAATGGTAAGGGTGATTACATTCGACGTTTCGTCTTCAACTTAAGCCGTTTTAAATTTAGAGCTAAGCTGCTGCCACGAGAAGGCTTTGAGTTTTCCATTTCTACAATTATACGTCATCATATAGCGAGGAGGGAAACGTATGTAAATGTACTGAAACTAACCAATAACAGTTGAGTGATATTTCTTGCTTCATGACGATATGTGCTACGTGCAACTGTTAAATTGTTAATTACTTATATTACTAACTCGTCGCCCGTGCTGACTCATCATCTCTGTTGACGGCACATTACTTCACTCTTAGTTTAGGGAGGTAACACTGCGCATGCATAGAAATGCCTTCGCGCATTCCACACTAGCTCTTCTCGAAAGGGCTCGTCGACAGCTTTCATATGAGCTAAATATCATCGCCGTAGTCCCAGTAGTTTAGGAAATAGCACGGCGCAGAAATTTCCCTGCGCATGCGCAGATCCTGTTGTGCAAAATATTGAGTTACGACGAATGTTCGAGAGTCACTTATAAGTGTTAAAACAGGTAAGTTTTAATTGATTGGATTGTTCTTTTACATTTTGTTTATTCGTTTTTTGTTGTATTCGAAATAAATATTTTAATAAGTTTTTTCCTGTTTTTTTTCAATTTATGTAACCGTACAACGTAACAAATAAAACTATACTTGAAAGGTCAAATTATGCCATGCGTATTAGAGTTACATCAATTACTATATGTGTATGCTAAGAAGCAGCCTTTAGTGATTTTTAGCCTTCATAAAGCTAAGCATGTTCATAATCTTATTCCGAGATTATTTTTCACTCCTAGATGTTTCACGGTTTCATTCCAGATATTGTTGCTTGAACGAAATATCTTATTTCCAAATGTTTAATTCCAAATATTAATGACTCCATCTCTATCAGCGGTTGCGATGCACCATTCATTGCCATCGTCATGCAGAGCAATTGTCGTAACACCTATTCCAGATTTTGTTGCTTGAACGAAATATCTTATTTCCAAACGTTTAATTCCAAATATTATGACTCCATCTCTATCAGCGGTTGCGATGCACCATTCATTGCCATCGTCGTGCAGAGCAATTGTCGTAACACCTTTCATGAGGAGTTGTTCTGTATGTGAAATAAAAATACATTTCTGAGGTGGGGTCGACTTTTTTCATTCTTAATATTAATATTGATAAGTTTAGTAACTTTATTTTGCAATGTAAGAAAAGATCAAGTCGTATTAACAACAGCATGCAGAAAATCTTACTCGATACTAAAATTATTTTTAAAAATAACTGCCTTTACTCACCAATATACTTTTCAGTATTTTTTCATGCTCTCTATATATATAGGAGTGCATGTCTCAAATTCATGAAAAGTGAAGGAAAGTTAAAACGTAGGTAATCAAAGCAATTCTGGGTTGCAAGCTACGTCATAGTCGCCATGTTCGATGATTTTAACAAAGGATTTTCCTATTTACAATGCTAATTTCATCCAACATCGCCAGCATTCCATTGTTCTCTTACTCAGGAGGATGGTTGCAACCCACCAATAGCAAACAGTGACAGCATTTCAATAGAATAATACTGCTGAATTTCATATTAATAACTCTATTGAACTCATTAACAATTTTTATGCATATGTATTGTATAAAGCAGAAGTGTTTATGCTTCTAGCATTGCTAAAACAATAACTACCTTCACTTGAGAATTAAGAGATACAATGACTTTGATAATTCGCCAATTGGTAATCTATGAGTACAATAATTAAAGTTTACGCCATGCAGTCGAATGCTTCATTTTGGGTTTCAATAATGACGAGGATGGGACACAGAAGCACGCTGCTGTTTTCAATTACAAACGTGTAAGTAATGTACTTTTACCGAGGCTTTGAAAGCGTTTTGTAGAAGAGGTTAATAAAGAATGCTGTAACTTAAAGAAGGTACCGAATATAAAGATAAATTTTAAGTATCGTGAAAGTACTGACACTTAAATGTTTGATACGATGATAAGTGTGTATTGAGTATATATCACAGCTGTTGCTGCGTTTTGAGGTTTTTCTTTTAAATATCGACTGTTTTTTAGTCTATAGTCTTCATATTTTTGAATAATGAGTGACTCTATACTGAAAAGAGTCATTTATATATCGCTGTGATTATCTAATATATTTGCTGCCATTGTTTGCATATTATCTGGGTAACCCTAACTGTTTCTTTTGCTTCAAGACAAGGTGAGATTTAAATAGGCGTGCGAGTAAAATAATTGTATGAGCCCAAAATTCTGCTACTTAACTAGCTCCCTCGAATTCAACCATAGTCATAGTCACCCCTGAAATCTGATGATTCTGAAAAGTCTTTATACTCTAATTTCAATAGCATGGTTTTATAAACCTCAAAAATTTTAGATTTTAACCACAATTGAGATGGAAATTAGTCTTCAAAGACATCCTATATTTTGATAAGTACTATGAATATATTTGAACGGAATGTCATTCATATGTAATCATTATGTAGGTACTCATTTAATTGTTTATTTACTATACAATCAATGTTTATTCATCCCTGAACCATTGAAGATGACTCATCAAATCTCTGTAATCAACCAGTTTTATATTGAAGTATTTATGTCGTTATTAATTTATAAACTGGCACTTGAAATGTTAAGATTTCTTACTCTTAAACCATTGTTTGCTTCACATAATTAAGTTACTGTAAAATTCAAATCATAAAGAAGAATCTGAAAGTGGGCCCATAGCATAATTATTCTTTCATTATTCTCTCATATTCTGCACTATGGTCAGGCTGGCCTATCCTCTCAACTTGCTTAAAAAGTAAATATTTACACTGTTAATCATGTCTCTCAATTAAACGATCCTACGTCGGCACATTATATTTTGACGTAATCATTACTGAATTATCAATTTATCATGTTTTGTGAGTAATATGAAATGGGAAGAATTTACAGATATAATGAATTGTCGAAATGCCAAGTTACATAGCTATTTAATTGAGATGTAATTGTTGATTTGCTTCTGGCAAATTCCGGGTAAATTTTTCTTTTGATTGTTTTATATAGCCGGGCAACAAAGATGTGTCAAATTGTTTACGTGACTATATTTTTAAAATAGGAAGAGCAAACACGCATTGTAGCGCTTGTGGTAGATTTTGATAATTTTTGTTTGTCAAGGATTATGGTGGGCTACGGTGGCTATATATCCAGTTAACTATTTGCATGTTACAAAATTTTAAAGCTACATTTTTCATTACTACAGCTAAATACGATTGGATATGTATTTTTTTTTGACAATAGTGCATTCTTTGTTCAAAAGATGAACTCCATGACTTGTTCGAGAACATAAAATTATTTGATAGCTATATAGAATTGCAAATTAGTTAGTTACTATAAAAAAAATCAACTCGTCTGTTTTTGAAAATAAGTAATAAGTAATTCAGGCAGCTCATTGCTATCAAATTATTGCAAAGTCAGCTTTGACGCACTTCAATTCCAATGATGTTGTAGGGAAATCACATTTAAGAAATCTATTACTGTGTATATAGCCTGTATGGGAAGAGTGACTGGACAATATTGCAAAGTCAGATTTGAATTGAGGCAATTGCATGAGTTCCAATGACGTTTTAGGGAAATTACATTTTTTTATAAAACAAAGACTTTATTGTGGTCACGAACTTTAATATTGCTCTCATTAACGTATTTGTCATCTTGAACGACAATTTAAGTAGTTCTTAAGAACTGTAGAAAACTGAAATGAAGATAGTTATAAAATTATGCTGCAGTTTGCCGAAATGCAATATCCTCATTTTGGTGTTCAACTGTTCTTTGAAGAACTACTCAATTATCAATCACCACGACAAATACGCTAATCACAGCAATAATTAAAATATTTTCTTAAATTGAAGACAAAAGACAGCAAAGCAAAGCATTTGAGCTCTTGCAAACGACAAAGTGACAATCTATTAACTGTTAAGCGGTAGCCTAGCCATCTCAAGAGTTGCATGGTCATGCTCTGTAAGTTTTTTAACACGATATCATTGTTGGTTTCCTGATGGATATTGTTTTTACAGTGAACAAACACCAAAATACGTACATAGCTGTGAAGGACTTGATGGGGTTAACCGTTATAAACGCGACCAAAAAGTTAACGTCAATGTCGTTAATTCTTTCATGCTATCTTTTGGGTCTCGCTCTGTCAGTTGTTCAGTGTTCATTTATTTACAACTTATTCAATATATGCAATCAAACACTACATATTAGCATCGTTTTGTAATATGATAATTAGTTATTATAACATCGATGTACGCCGGTGTATTGGCATATTACACAAATAATATTCCGGTTATACATCTTCATATTTTTCATTGTTAAAGCAATTGTTTCTGTTTGTATGCAGCGGTTAAAAATATTAACTTCTTGCACAACTCTCTTTCGTAGTTTAAGGATTTTTGAGACCGAAATCAAACTGAGATTGCAGGATATTTTACTCATATATAAATCATGTATAATAAACAATCACTGTCGGGCACCGTAAGATATTTTTACCACTATGTGGTTAAGCTTGTGCATACGGCCTGGTTTTATGTCTGTTCATAAGCATTTGATATTCATTTTGTCGTTTGCCGAAGAATAGACTGAGTAGTCTCCTTTTGACCGCTTGCTGTCAGAAGTCTCCTTTGACCGCTTGCTGTGAGTGGTCTCTTTGACTTTTGCTGTCAAAAGTCTCCTTTGACGGCTTGCTGTTAGAAGAAGTTTTGTATTTTACTAAAATAAAGTTTTCTATGTAACTAATCAGATCTACACATAAATACTCGATGGGTTTTCCCTTTTTAATGTTTCGATATCATTGCTTATTTTAGTTATTTATTGCAGTATGTCTTTGATATGCATTGACCTGTACATTACAGACAATGAAAATATATTCGCCTACGACTGCTGTCATGATGGGTTATTATAAGGACAAATATTGGTTGCTTTGTGTTTCGTGAGCGTCTATAGTATTCCCATTCAGTAATTCAAACCATGTTAGGAGCTAAATTTGTCTCTGGCATTATAGAAATGCTTTGAAAAGATAGTTTAGCTTTACTCGTAAAATATTTTAAATTTTGAATGTTTTCGTCCAAGATTTCGTGTGAACGATCGGCACCAACTTTACCGTAAAGCCTAGTTCACATATAGTTGTAATTGTTGTAATTCGATCGGTGATGAACGTTTGCAGCAATTACAACTATAAGTAAACGCGCGTTGTAATTGTTGTAATTTAATCGCAGACAAATCGAGAGCTGCTCTAGAAGTTGAACTTGTCCAACTCTTACAACATTTACAACATAAGAAATTTACACATGAACGATTATCGGCGATGGCAATTCATCTTTACTTTCGAATTCTTGTACGATAAATGATCAAATTTGATACTAGTAAGTATCACCTGAATTACAACAACTACAACTATTTATGAATAGGTAGTGTTGTAAATCATTTGTATTGTATAAAATCAGTTGGAATCCGAATGTATAAAATCATTTGAAATGTATCAAATCAGTTGGAATGTATCAAATCAGTTGGAAGGTATCGCTGATGAAATTACATCAATTACAATTGTATGCGAAGTACGTTTAAACAGACGATGACGAAATTGTCTGTACTGACTCATGCTCTAACTGCACCTATGCGCGTTAAATGTCATATGCTATATCTTGCCAAAAGTTTTTTTGCTCGAATTTGTACTCACAAAGGCAACTGGGCTAAACAGACAAGTATTTTAGTAGAATCGTCAAATTTTACTCTAAACCAAGACGAATTTGTCGTTATATCTTCCCGAGATACTCTTTTGCTGTAGATGCAAATTTTGTATTGTTATGTGTATGTATACTTTCGTATTTACTTATCTGATGAGATATTGTGTAAATGTGTAAGTAATATTAATCATTGAAAATAAAGACTTTTTATCAATCCCCTATTAGTCTGATGATGTCTTTGGAATAAAGACAAAATATTACACAATCTGTTGTCTATAACTCTTGTATCATTTTGATTATTAAGAAAACGAGATGTCTGTTTTCGGAATTTGTTTTATTTTATTTTACTTAAAATTGTCTGCTTGTCCTGGTTATTAATCCCCTATTTATCTTACCAAAACATTGATTAAACAAAAAGAAACCTTTAACTAACATAGGTGGGGTTTCCTTTGAAATACGCATAAATCACTACAATATCACAGAAACGAACTGTTGAAAATCTTAACATATTAATGTTCAATAAAATACTTTATTATAGACAACCCTATTAAAGTCTGCCATCGAAAACTTTATACTTATTAAAAAATGTTTTATTAAATCTTACAATGCTTTCCTTATGGTGTGTAGAGTTATGGTTATTTAGAGACACAAATGACTTCTAAATAACCACGAGAGAACTAGATGAAATATTTAAGACTAAATAATGATTACCTTTTGTTTTTTCTTCAGTACATTCACTTTACACTCGCAAATTTAACTATAACACTTTGTAAAATAGGTATTTTTATACAATACGTACATTGTTAGTTACGCACTCATTACTGCAAATGACGTTTTTTGCGTCATTGTTTCAATATCTCTTTGTATAGAGAGTTTTTGTAATAACGTCATCCTTGTTTGCACGGCGGAAAACGTCTATGTATGTTGAAGTTCCAAATACTTTTTGCCGACAAAATTTGTTTTTAAATCATAAGCGGACTCAGCGTTCGGCAAAATAAAGTTATATAGCTCAATTCGATTTTATATTCGAAAAATACGTTCAAAAACACTATTGGTTCGGAATTTCTAATGAATATAAGTTTACCAATGCACTTGAATCTAAAATGTTTGTAAACTTGTAAATATATTGTAAAAGGAGCTGCAGTAATTTATTTTTTGACGTACCCCGGTCCGGCACTGTTTTTATTAAAAGCAAGCTAACTTGATTAGATCTTATGACGTATATTGGCTTATGTTAGAGTTACTGCAAATTAATTATCATTTAGTATTGAATGAGATCAGTGCTCCACCCTACTGTGAGATAATTTTTGTCAGTTTTTTTTGTAAGATTTTAAAGTCATGTGCTCCATTTTTATTTATTTAAAAAAGTATTCGCTGAAGAAATCATTACATTTACCAATTTATAAACTGCGAATAATTTTACAACAACTGTAGTTTTGACTCACCCATTGCTTTTCTTTTTCCAATATGAGTGAGCGAACGATTTCTCACAATAATTTCGATTTTCTTTGGTTTGCTATTTTTTGACAGTCTTCAGCTGTTCTTGTATGTGCAGCCGAGTACAAAGTATGAATGAATCTCCAAGTGTCGGTTCTATTTATTTACTCTACTTTTTGCTACCTGGAATCTTCCAGTTTGTTCGAAAGGAGTGAAAGTTCTTCCTTGCCTCCGAAATGTGCTGTCAGAATAAGGATGATGTGTTTTTATGTGCTAACCGCAAGTCAGTTTCGACGGAAATTTTCATAATGTTTTTGAAAGCATTCAGTCCAAAACATAAAATCTTTTCGAAAAACATGTGTGGCTACCTGATTTTTTTCATTACAGAAATATATTATTCACTCAAGCTTCATTCACAGTATGTTCATGTAATTTGTTACATTTATTTTTTTAAATAGAGTTTGGTGGTATAGTGGTTAGTGGTGTATAGTACCTGGTGTTATTACTATGGGGAAAGGCATTGTGTCTATATAAAGAAATCTGTCTGTGCAAATATCTTTATTTTATTTTAAAACCCTTTCATTCTTAACTTGTAATCATTTGAAAATGCCGTGGCAAGTCAAGTAAAATTGACCATTAGCTCTAAATAGTTTTTTAAAAGACGGTTCGTTTCGTTGTAATCATACATTATTTTATGATGTAGCTACTAATCTGTTTTTCAGTGGATTCGATAATTATGTTAAAATCTTGGAGTACATATGTTTGGTGTACAACATTATATCATACATTATCATACATGATATGCGCTAGGCAAGTTAATTGAGGTTATCTTTAGTCACGTTTTAGTTAGTATTGTGACGTTAACTAAACAATGAAAATGGTTGCTTATGTGCATGTAATTATTTATCATAACAGTTCGGTTTCGCATTGTGGTTTTACTATTGTGGTCAGTTTCGAATTATTTTTTGCTAAGTAACGTAAATGTGAACTAAAAACTAGAATTTTTCATCCACAATATCGAAAATGTGATTGTTAAATGAACGCGATTTAGCTTGATATCTTGCCAATACGTTTGAAGAATTCTCCATGCAAACATCGAGGTTCAAAACATTTTACTTAAATCTTTAACTAACTTTGGAGTACTTCCTCAGTCTAATTAGGTGTCTTGAGTAAAATGTGTCTTGACTAATTAGGTGTCTTCAGACTAACTAGATGTCTTGAGTAAAGACGAAACGTCACTCTTTTAATAAATTTCATAAAACCAAATTGTTTATGTCTATGTTTAAAATTATTTGTTGGACTCTAATATTTATATTGAGAATTCGTTTCCCGCCTGGCACTTCATTCGCAACAATATTGATGCTGTAATATTTATTTAAGTAGTACATGAAACGAGTTTTTGGAGAGTATGTTCACGTAATTAATATTCTCCACGGAGGCAATAATGCAATTAAAAATAGTTAGGAAAAACACGGCAATTTTACGACATGTGACATAAGTGGTATGTTGCAAGCTGACGATTTCAAGCTTGTCAATTGTTGATACATCATCGGCTGCCTAGAAATCAATTAACGCTTCTTTTAGAATCGATTTATCCAATTATTTTCCTCGATTCACAGCTGTAGGCAATGTTTGTCATCACGTGTGCGATAGTCATTGATATCGCGTGTCTTCGAAGTATGTATTGGTCTTAACAGGCTAATATTTTCACAATGTCGGCAAGTTTCACTAAAAAAATGACAGGTCACTAACACAAAACAGTAATAAAGTGAATGGTTGAACCCCGGGAGTATCATAACATGTTTGTGGATGAAGATCATCCAGGTTAGTAAAGTCCTGAGGACGACTGTTGGTATTGATGTTGACTGACGTTTCGACAACCATAGCGGTAGTCATCTTCAGAGTCAACTTAACTCTGACTGACGTCAGCTTTTTATAATAAGCATGACAGACGTAGCTATGATTTTTCAACACGGCCATCGCGAAAGTAATGGTAAGGGTGATTACTGTCGACGTTTCGTCTTCAACTTCAGCCGTTTTAAATTTAGAGCTAAGCTGCTAAGCCACGAGAAGGCTTTTGAGTTTTCCAATTTCTACAATTATACTTCATCATATAGCGAGGAGGGAAACGTATGAAATTTTTTGCAGACATTTTATCAGAGAATTTTTCACTCTTACTGAATTTTACGTTGTTGTTACATAATTTGTAGTACATTGCTATTTGCGATTAAATGTACTGAAACTAACCAATAACAGTTGAGTGTCATTTCTTGCTCCATGACGACATGTGCTACGAGCAACTGTTAAATTGTTAGTTACTTATATTACTAACTCGTCGCCCGTGCTGACTCATCATCTCTGCTTCCTATGGCACATCACTTCCACCGAATCAAAAAATAATTCGCATCATCTATGTAAATTTATTTCATAGATAATTACTTCAGAATATTTAATCAACATTTCGTAATGATTATTTACAGTATCGAGAACAGTGTTCAAGAGTTGGTCTATGCAGTTTGTCGTCAAAGTTACATTTGTGCTGCATAACATTTGGGATGTTAATGACAGGACGGTTTGCTTCAGTTGTGAAGGTAACTTTTTATTATATACATCGTTTAAATAGACGGTAATTTGGTCATGTGAATGAAATTTTGTACGTGATTTGAAAATGCTTTATATACTCTTAGGTACATAATAAATTAGACGGCTATCTCTATGCGATCAAAAGAATTTATTTCAATCAGACAAGTGTTCTGTTAAATCGCAAAATTGCTCGAGAAGAGAAGTTCCTTTCTAGATTGAATCATGAAAATATTGTAAGGTAAAAAGAAATTTACTATCCAAAATAAATCAAAATTTTATAACATAAGGGTTGAAAGCGAGGTTCAGTTTAGACGATACAAATTGCTTGGCTTGTTAAAAGTTATCTTTGTAAAAACTATAATGAAAAAGTGGATAATCCCTTTTTTTCATGAAGCCCATGGATGCTTTTATTCATGATGAGAAAGTTATATTTTATGAGGAGGCTCTCGCTCGTCACAAGAGAGTCATTAGAAAGTTACAGTGTAAAAGATAACATGTAAAAAACGTATAAACATGTTTAGTGTTGGTTTAAATTCTAAGTCAAAGAGGCAGAAGTATTTTGAACCTTTGCAGTATCCTTGAATGTTCTAGTTTCTTTTATGAGATAAACCAAATATAAAATTCAAAAGAAAAAACCCCCGTATTCGGTCCATGCTTTCCGATACCTTCTTAAGCGTAAGGCACTAGAACGCTGCATGTTAACGTTTCGGTGGAGATGTCAGCCCCTCGCTATCCTACATGGGGATGCAAATACGTAAAAAGCCTCCGCCCATCAGACCCCGAGATCATTTGCGATAGGCCTTTCTCGGGGTACGTAGGAAGAGTGTAGAAATACCTTCGCGCATGTGCAGATCCTATCTCGCAAAATATTGAAGTTACGGCGATTTTCAATAGCTCATTCAAAAGAGCTCGTCAAGAGCTTTCACATGAGCTAAAGATCATCGCCGTAGCCCCAGTAGTTTAGGATATAGCACTGCGCATGCGCAAAAATAAATTCGCGCATCCGCAGATCTTATCTCGCAAAATATTGGAGTTACGACGAACGTTTGAGAGTCACTTGTCAGTGTTAAAACAGGTAAGTTTTAATTGATTGGATTGTTCTTCTAGTTTTTCTTCATTCGTTTTTTGTTGTATTCGAAATAAAGATTTTAATAACTTTTTTCCTATTTGTTTCAATTTATGTAACCGTATAACGCAACAAATAAAACTATACTTGAATGGTCAAATTATGCTATGCATAGTAGAGTTACATCAATTACTATATGTGTATGCTAAGAAGCAGCCTTTAGTGATTTTTAGCCTTCATAAAGTTAAGCATGTTCATAATCTTATTCCGAGATTATTTTCCACTCCTAGATGTTTCATGGTTTCATTTCAGATTTTGTTGCTTGAACGAAATATCTTATTTCCAAACGTTTAATTCCAAATATTAATGACTCCATCTCTATCAGCGGTTGCGATGCACCATTCATTGCCATCGTCATGCAGAGCAATTGTCGTAACACCTTTCATGTGAGGAGTTGTTCTGTATGTGAAATAAAATACATTTCTGAGGTGGGGTCGACTTTTTCATTCTTTAATATTAATATTGATAAGTTTAGTAACTTTATTTTGCGATGTAAGAAAGGATCAAGTCGTATTAACAACAGCATGCAGAAAATCTTACTCGATACTAAAATTATTTTTAAAAATAACTGCCTTTACTCACCAATATACTTTTCAGTATTTTTTCATGCTCTCTATATATATAGGAGTGCATGTCTCAAATTCATGAAAAGTGAAGGAAAGTGAAAACGTAGGGTAATCAAAGCAATTCTTGGGTTGCAAGCTACGTCATAGTCGCCATGTTGGATGATTTTAACAAAGGATTTTCCTTATTTACAATGCAAATTTCATCCACCATCGCCAGCATTCCATTGTTCTCTTACTCTCAGGAGGATGGTTGCGACCCACCAATAAGCAAACAGCGACAGCATTTCAATAGAATAATACGAATAATTTCATATTAGTAAGTTTATTGAACTCATTAACAATTCTTTATGCCTTTGTATTGTATAAAGCAGAAGTGCTCATGCTCTCTAGCATTGCTAAACAATAACTACCTTCACTTGAGAATTAAGACATGCCTCCAATTGGTAATCTGTGAGTACAATAATTGAAGTTTACGCCATGCAGTCGAATGCTTCATTTTGGGTTAGAATAATGACGAGGATGGGACACAGAAGCACGCTGCTGTTTTCAATTACAAACGTGTAATAAATGTACTTTTACCGAGGCTTTGAAAGCGTTTTGTAGAAGAGGTTAATAAAGAATGCTGTAACTTAAAGAAGGTACCGAATATAAAGATAAATTTTAAGTATCGTGAAAGTGTACTGACATTTAAATGTTTGATACGATGATAAGTGTGTATTGAGTATATATGACAGCTGTTGCTGCGCTTTGAGGTTTTTGTTTTACTTATCGACTGTTTTTTAGTCTATAGTCTTCATATTTTTGAATAATGAGTGACTCTATACTGAACAGAGTCATTTATATATTTGTTGTGATTATCTAATATATTTGCTGCCATTGTTTGCATATTCTTTGGGTAACGCCAACTGTTTCCTTTGCTTCAAGACAAGGTGAGATTTATATAGGGCATGCGAGTACTTAAAGATAATTGTATGAGCCCAAAATTCTGTTACTTAACTAGCTCCTTCGAATTCAACCATAGTCACCCCGAAATCCCGATGTAATTTCCCTGAAATCCAGTTTCAATACTAAGCCCTTAATAACCGAGCTTGAGGTCTTTACGGAGAAATATCGGACTGATGTCTTCTTGTACAGACCGAGCCCGTAGGGCGAGGTTTGTAGAAAAAGACAAAGGTCTGATATTTCTCAGTAAAGACCGAGAAAGCGAGGTTATTAAAAAGATTATTACATGGCATTATTTCACCTGAAACAAAGCTTGCTTTCTTTCACGTCCTTGCTGTTTTTACGGGTTGGCTTTCACTTTTCTAGTTTTCTTCCATAAAAAATTAATCGTTTCAAATTGTATCGTCTGGATAGTTTAACTGTTTTCCAAGTGTTTTTCATTCGAATCACATTCGTAAGTAGTTTTTTGTTTCGTTTATTTTGCGTTTTGCTCTGCATTACGAAGTTTGTTTACATTTGACAGTAAAATTACGCGTTTCGGACCATGGTCGATTACGGGAAAATAATGGACTGGCAAAAATGTTTCTCAGCCAATCAAAGCGTGCCATGTTTCCGGAAGTGACGCTTGCCATATAATAATCAATTAAAGTCTTCTAAATGCTTTTTGCTTAACTCGTATTCTTACTGCATTGGTTGATCAGTTCTTCAAAAACGTCAGTTTTGCGATCATGTCTTTTTCATTGAATGTCTGAACGACTGCCTCAAAACCTCAATAAATCATTTCATTTTTACAAGCCTTCGTTTAGGCACACAATTATCAGTCATCGCAGCCTAAAGTGTGATTTTGTTGTCTTCGGACAGTCCAATAATTACCATTCCGTCTGGTGTTATAGCTATGTTCTGTAAAATAAAGTTCACTAAATTTGTCATCTGTTTTTTCGCATATGAAACACATAAGCAAAAACTTTGAATTTTGCGTTTAGATTCCACCATTTTTCTCGGCATTAAATATCAACATTACAAAAGTAGTAATTTACGTGTTTATTGCAGGATATATACCTGAATCTCTCTACCATTGTCAGCTTCCAAGACCTTCTCTATCACATAAGATGCTGTGTTCCACACACTCACAAAGTTTCCTGGACCTGATATACTTATCATGTGACCTTCTAGAGGTGAGTAACACAGTTTCTTGACAGCCCCTACAGAGTCGTCTAGTATCATTGCACATGCGCCAGTCTCTTTCTGCCATATTGTAATTGTTGTGTCGTGGGAAGCGCTCGCTAAATAATGACCGTCGGGAGAAAATTTTATATCGTTAACGGCATCGCGATGTCCTTTGGCTAGAAAGTGCATTTCACTTTTTTTTTTCATTCCTAAAATATAATCTCCCGCAATATAAAAACTTCAGCTTACTACACAGTAGACTATTCATTTAAGAAGCAACGAAAAATTTATTGATTACTATAACACATGCAAATAATGAATAATACGCGACATAATTAATAATTCTTAACTTGCTTGTGGTTATCATTTGTTGTGATTGGCAAAATATAGATACATTCGTAAGTCATTTATCAATAATCAATTCAGTCAAAATACTGTCCAGAGTCGTCTAGTATCATTGCACATGCGCCAGTCTCTTTCTGCCATATTCTAATTGTTGTGTCGTGGGAAGCGCTCGCTAAATAATGACCGTCGGGAAAAAATTTACATCGTTAACGGCATCGCGATGTCCTTTGGCTAGAAAGTGCTTTTCATTATTTTTTTTTTCATTCCTAAAATATAATCTCCCGCAGTATAAGAACTTCAGCTTACTATACAGTAGACTATTCATTTAAGAAGCAACGAAAGATTTATTGATTACTATAACACATGCAAATAATGAATAATCATCATCATCATCATCATCAGCCTGTCACGCCACTGCTAGCGGATGGCCTCCACATCGTTCTCCACTCTTCACGGTCTTGGGCTCTCTGGGTCCACATGCTACCCGCTCTCTGCTCGATGTCATCTCTCCATCTCCTTTTTGGTCTTCCCTTGCCTCTTTTCTAGTCCCACGGGGTCCATTCAGTTGTTTTCTTTGCCCATTCATGGCTTTTCATTCGGGCTAGATGTCCTGCCCACTTTCCTTTGGCTTCAATAACTTTCTCGATGACATCCTTCACATTTGTTCTTGCTCTCAGGTCTTCATTTCGGATATTATCTCATCTCGTGACACCGAGCATTGATCTTTCCATGCTCCTTCGGGTGATTGCCAGTTTCTCTCCTTGATGGCTGGTAAGTGCCCACGTCTCTGCTCCATAAGTCATTGCTGGTAGTATGACAGTGTCCATGATCTTCCTGTTGAGACACATGGGCATTCTTTGATCTCTCATGAACATGCTGTACTGTCCAAATCTCTTCCAAGCTGATATTATTCTCTCATCTATTTCTCTCGCCATCTCATTTCCTGGTGTTAGTAGTCTTCCCAAATACTTCTACTCTTCAACCTCTTCCAGCCGTTCTCC